TGGGATGGGGGGTTCTGCTGAGCCATGTGTAGACTTAAATGTGTTGATTGTTTGTTTCCTTCTGCAGCTATGGCTCACTTCCATGGACATTCATGATTGTTTACATTTTCTTACCTGTTTTCCTTAATCTTTCTTTGATAGTATTGGTGTGTCTCAAATATACGTATTTAAAACTACTTACTTAAACATTATTATTTATTATTTTAACATAGGAATTTTAAGATTAATATATTTATAAAATTATTGTCTACAGCTGTAGCCTGAGGTGTTTGTACCTCACGCTGCTGGGCATAAACACATTTAAACTTTGTCATGTCATAAAGAGGTGCATACTAAGAGATAACTGAGTGCTACACAAACATGCAAGTAATGCAACACTAAAACCTACCTGTGAAGTAAAGTAGTGGTATTCCTATTTTGCAGGTGAATGTGGTGAACAAATTGGCTACAAACAGTTTGATACTGGCTGGAAATCGCCAGGAGGGTTGAATACACAGCCCTTAAATGTCTGGGTTCCTTGAATTCACATAACACTTTCTTTCCTTCTAATGGTGCTTCCTCAGCACTCATTCTGCTGTTACCCAGCCTTTGGAGGTGAATAGATCATTGAAGACTCTGAGCTCATGTCTGAGAGGTGGTGATTCTGTGAAATCTCATAGATCTTTATCACTTTTTACTTGTTTTCAGTGCAAGCTTCCTGCATTGGAGCTCCCTTTCCACGGCTTCATGTTCTTCCTCCTATCTGTGGAGACCTGGTGTTACTGATATACTTATTATTCTGAAATAAACATACTTTTTAATATTTATGAAAAATAGTGGTACTGTATAACATAGGATACCTTCCCTAACAACAGCTTGATGTCATTAAAAGTTGGATTTTTCTGTAAAAATGGTTCCAAAATTAGCAGCAGTTGTAACAAGAGTTCTTCAGTAACTAGCAAAAAGAATAAACAGTTCAGAAAATGAGAGGGAAATATTTATCTTTCTATAAAATTTACCTTTTTGATAGTCATAGTTCCTTTCAATTTTTATGTGAGTTCAACCAATTATTCGCTCCCTCTGTAATTGCATGTAAATTTTAATAGGAAACACATAGATTACAGGGGTTTGGGGATACTAAATATTTTGCATTTACTTATAATATTTAAATTATTTTTCAGTAAACCATTCTTTGTCAGTCACAGGAGTAATAAATAAGAAAAAGGAAATTGGCAAATATGATTCACTTAATTCCTATTTTTAAATATTTGTGGACTGTGTAGCAAAGCTGTCACAGAAGGAGACTGGGTAGCTTATAACATTATGCTCTTTTAATGTTTCTGTGAACAGACCTGAGTAACATATGTTAGAATGAGATCATAAAGCATGATAAAAAAAATTTAATGTATGTATACTATGTAAAATTGGTGTGCTGTTTTTCTTGGCACATATACATTGGAATATTAATGTTCTCTTTTCTGTAGACTACCCAGGAAGTCTGTAATAAACAGAAACATATCTATCCATTGACTCACTCATACTCTGTAATGAATACTGTATCTACACATGTGTGCTAGAAGCCATTAATGTCATTTGATGATGCAGTTATGGCACAAAACACCCCCCCTGTTCTTTTTCAGTATATTCAGCCATTGGTTTGCATTCTAGTTCCAGTGCAAGTTTAAATAGCTTAACTTTTTGTTTCAAAATATTTGTAACAAAAAGTGCCTTAAAACAAGCACATCCAAATAACAAATAACCTTCTGCAGTGCCCTTGTGCCTCCAGAGGATCCATTAGTGGTGGGGCTGTGTAGATCTGATAACGATGAGCGTTAGGTCCAGAATCATCAGCGCTTTAACTTGGCTTTGTCAAGGGAAAGAAACCTCCCTCTAGTTCTTTCTGGGTTTTGAATCTTTCGCTTAAATTGAGCTTAGGATATAGGACTCAAAGATAATTAAGTCCCATGAGTTTTGTGAGAATCATTGCCTGGGTAAAGAGGAGACCCTGGCAGTGACCTGAAGCCAGAGGAAAAAGCTGCAGCAGATCCTGTGCTGCCGGGCCACGGGAGAGCCTGCGTGGGAGAGGGTCTGTCTGAATGCCCAGTGGGAAAAGCCTCAGCCACAGCCTTCAGTCAACCATGAAACATGAATCCATAGGAAACCAAACTTCCTTAGCTTTTATTCTCAAGGAACTATTAATCAGCTGGTTATCAGAATATTCAGGACAGGTTTTAATGCAGTGTTGAAACTGTTAGAAAAGTGGAGCATAAACTCTGGTACTTTTCCCACCAGTGGGAAAAGTTTTGTCCAAAAAAAATCTTGAGATAAATGAGACCTCTGTGTGTGGAAGAAGATTGTTTCACTTCGAGTTGAGCTGATGCTTCTGGGACCTGGGCTTTTTAATCTAGAAATACCTGGCAGAGAGGGTGTTGCTAGTGGAAGCTTTCTCAGCTTCTCTGTTTTGTTAACCTGACAAAGCCAGAGAGGGTTGACATCTGACTTCCTTAAATGTGGTTACTAGAGAGGGAGAAGTTGAGCCAAAAATATTTGTTTGTTCACTCATGGCTAATTGTTGGGGAAGCAGTTATTAGTCTGTGTGCCCAATCTTATAAAAATGAGATTTCAGTTAAATTGCATTGGCAGGCTTGCTTTCTTTTTGAAAAGAAGTGTTTGTAATTAGTTAACATTACAATTTCTCTAAAGAATAGTTGAACCTTTTTTGTCTTGGATATTATATAGTTTCAGGAGCACCCTGTGTGGCTGTGCTATAGATGCATTTTGACTTAACTATTGAATTTTAAGCCCTCAGCTTCACTTGACACTTCTAATTACTTGTAATGGGTAAAACTGTGATAATAATTATATGTTTTTTTAGATATTTTAGGAAGTTGTCATCTGTATAATTACCGATTTTACTTGAAGCTTTTTACCACTAGAAGAAAGGTGGCTGGTGAGCAATAACCTATTGCAGTTCTTCGGCAGATGATATCTGTTGTGTTACCACTCATCTGAGGATATTCTTGGTGTAATAAAACCTTAAGGAGCAGCAAAAGCAGTTTTTCTATTACCTTTTTTTTTTTTTCAGATGCCTTTAGGTTGTTCTCAATGTTCTGGATAGAGTAAACTTTAGATTGTTGAGCACGTGGAAGCCTTTGATAACTGTGGATTTTTTATTACAATGTCCAAAGACCTTTATTTGATTTCTGTGGCAGTGATATGACAGTGTCTTTCCTATATGTACTTGAATGCTGGATATCAAATACCTGAAATATTTGACTCTCTATTAGTATTTTATTACTGTTGACTGTTCAGATTGAAATTGCTGGGTGAAAACCCCTCAAATGGAGCTATGCTTTAGGACTACCAGTATGTCTTCGAATGGAGAGAAATTATACTTACTACTTTTATCATCTTTAAAAAATCCCAGCAGCTACCAACCTGGAACCAGGCACTTCTTTTTCAGGGTAATAATGTTGTTAGCAGCCCCTTATATCAAACTACTGTGCTGAAATTTTCCTGGGAACTTTCCTGTGGAATAGAAATGTTCCTTTCCTGTGGAATAGGTCAGTGTGAAGGAGTTGTTCTGTGACTCCCTGTAGCCACTGATAGGCATCTCCTTGTGTTTTATGGAGGACCAAAACTCCTCAGACCTGAGCAGAATTGTAGCCAGATTTTACAGGGCTGAATTCCAGTGGAAAGCAGCTTCGTTAAAATCAGCATCTTTATGAATGTAAAAATTGGGAAAACATGAATTCTATGTTTAGACAGTCCAGGGTTGTTCTTCTCTGCCCTGGCTGTAGAGATCTCCATGGGAGTGCTCATGGATTGCCTCTGCTTGCTTTTATTCAGGCAGAAATTTGAGATCAGGAGCCTTGCAAGATCAGTGGGAGGGTATTCTGGGGGGGAAAGGATGACCAATGGTGTTTGGTTTTAGGTGGTGCCTGTGGGATGTGATTATTGGATGCACTTTTCTGTCTTTGCATTTCCTGGCAGTAATAAATATTGGCGATCTCATAGGAAAAATATCCAAGGGAATCATATAGTGAGGAATCTCTTGCAGCATCAGGTTCCAACCAAATAACTCTTCCCACTCCCCCCTCCTTTTTTTTTAATACTAGCTGTGGGAATTCATGCTTTTACTCAATCCCCAAGAATCCTTTTGTGTTATCAGTAAATATTTTAATGTTTCACAGGGGAATCTAATATTTCCTGCTTACTAAACCTGTGATAATAGATAAGCATAGTAGTTGAGTAGTGGTGCAGTTTGTGAAGTCTTCTTTGTGTACCTTGGCACCTTTATATGAAATTTGTCCCCTTTGACCTTTTATTTATTTATTTGTTTATTTAAATTTATTCTCATAGGAGATTGTTTTCCCCTGGGTATTTTTAGTTGACAAATGCAAATGTTCCTTCCTTTTAATTTAAACAAACAAACAAAAAAAGCCTGAAACAATTACCAGCTGCTACAAATAAAAGATATCTTTGGAACCATCAAAACTCTGGCTTTAGAAGTTAGTGTGCTCCACCCAAATGCTTTTCAGGTAAAACCTTTTATTTGTAAAGGATGCAGGATAACAGAAAAGCCTTGGCTGCCTAATGTTCTGCTTTTTGTGATCAAGGAAGCTTTTGCTGGGCTGCAGAACTGCCCCTCCTAAGTCCCAGCACTAATTGTGGTGAAGCAGCCAGGAGTGCTCCAGGTCCCTCTCTGGTGAACTCACAGCTGGCAAAACGGTTGAGGGGAAAAAAAATGCCTTTAGGTTAGTTTCACCATGTGAAACTATTGCCTGAGGAAACCACAACCATCTCACTTCCACTGTTAACTGCCTCCAGGTAAAGTGTTAAAAGATGGCACTACCAGCTCCACTTTCAGGAATTAATTCACATGGCAATATAAATGATGAAGGAGGACAATTAATTTGTTAGTTTTATTTTAAGCAAGATTTTCTGAAGTGCTGGATTGGTAAAATAACTTTAAGGTTGGCAATCAGTAACTTAATTTTGTATTTCTGTTCTTCTTGCAGTACTGTGTGCAAAAAACTTGGTGAAAAAGGACTTTTTCCGTAAGTAGCTGTTACAGTTTTGTACTTTTATTTATAGACAGAATAAATATTAGGCAAGTTCTATAGTGCAGTGTTTGCATATGATCATTATATTAAGATATTTGCAGTAAGGGGTCTGAAAGCCTTGATGTTTTATTTCAGGGCTTCTATTTTTGTCTTAGGTGACACTCATCACAGAATCACAATAATAATTAAAACACTGACGCACTGTGTCTGTTTTTATGGGAGTGGGAAACAAATTTACCCACTCAGGCAAATTACATGTTTTTCAAATTTAGTGTCATACATTTATTACGTCGTTTTTCATCCAATAACTTTTTGTCAAGCAAACAGATGTGCTCCTTTATTAATAACCACCTCATAACACCGACGTACTCTGAAATTATATTTTAATTAATTTTAATAATGTTTTGAAATACGTGCTAAGAAGTAGATGAGGAAGGCAGAAAGGAATGCTATTGTCTGTGTCCTGTATGCAGAGATCACCTGCCTCCCACCTCCCACCTGGGAGCAGGAGGAATTTGGAAGAGCAGACCTGAGCTTTGGAAAGAAATAGAAGAGGCAATGATCCAGAAGTATACTGTGATTTGAGATACTTCTAAAGCATTGCTTATATCTGAATTTCTGTATTGATTACAAGTTCTTGGGTGTTTAACAGTTTGATCATGCCTGAAAAAATCCCTCAGGATATGCAATGTGTGATGCTGAAGCACAGATGTCCCAAGGTCCCACTCCTTTGTCCCCACGTGCTTTCTTGACACTTGTCCTGAGCCCTCTGCTGCCTGACCAGCCCTGCCTGAGTCACCTGAAATGCAGCTGGGACAAAATTGCACCTCAGCAGATGTGATGAATGTTACCTTGGTTCCTCCAGCTGACTCACAGCACTCAAAGAGGGGAGGAATGAGTGAGTGTGTGGGGAAAAGGGCAGGACCTGGGGAATCGGGGCTGGGACCATCCCTTCGTGGGCTGCTCTGCTCCTGCTGCTTTTCCAGCCCTGCATCTGGAATTCAGCACCATCTTTACACTGATTTTTGGTGTTAGATGAACCTGTGTTCAGTGTTTCTTAGGTACTGAGCTGGCAGCAAATGGAGCACAAAGCCAGCAGTACACAAAGTGGATCCTGAAAGCAAAAATAATCTTTTATAGGCAGTTCTTTGTTACACCAATATCATCCAAAACCATAATTGTGATTTGATTTTAAACATATAAAGAATGTAACTCTGTTTTCTCTGCCTTTGGCTTCTTTGTATACTGAGAATTTACTCAAACCTAAATTAGGAAGATTAAGGTGTTTAGATTTTTTTTTTTCCCAATGTGTTTGACTTATACAACTTTTTCTTAGTCTATACCAGTGAAATAAATTGCTAATTTACCCATTTCCTGTGCTTAATACGTCATGTTATTCCCATTTATTAAATGGGGGTCTTATTATGAATAAAAGGCAAATAAATCTTCAAATGAAAGATAAAATAATTGAGCAATGATAAAGGATTTCAAAGCATCCTGATCCACTTGGTAGCTTTTTTTTCTTTTCCTTCTCGTAGGACTTCCTGATCCCTTTGCTAAGGTTGTGGTGGATGGATCTGGCCAATGCCATTCTACAGATACTGTGAAGAATACACTTGATCCCAAATGGAATCAGCATTATGACCTGTAGGTGGTAACAGTGATAACCAAAGGTTTGAAGTGAAATCCTCTAAATTACACAGACAATGTCAGATGTTCTTTATCCTGTCCTGTGTATGGTTTGAAAAGTATCCCAGAGTTTATTAGTTTGAGCAAAAAGTACACTTAGCAAAACTCCACTTTCTCATTTACCTCAACATTTAAGCACTGCACTTGTTTTTCTGGTGCTGATGTCTGCAGCATGTGGACATGGACTACAGCATTGTTTTATTGTGGTGTTTCATGGTAACACTTCTGTAAAATGGAGCAAGTAATTGACAGTATTTCCCTCAAACTGCTCTTCTCCTGATGCAATTTTTTTGGTTGTGGTGCTACAGTGTCTTTTTCTCTGTGTGCCTTTTGTTCAATTTTTTCTCCTTTCTGTCATTTTCTGTCCCAAAAGTTCTTCTCACTCTGAATTATTGTTATCATCACTTGAGCACCTTTTGGTGTTTTTGAGCAGTATCAGTATGGCACGTATATGTCATGGTTTTCCTCTCTTTCTAAAGCATAGAATATTTCTGTACAATATAACTTATTAAAGCTTTGATTTATATCTAGGTCTCTGTGCATGCTTTATTTTTCTTGTCTTTTATTCTCTATCTTTTTCCTTGGGATGAAAGATGAGGAAGAGAAATGAACTGTTTTGCATCATTGTATTCTCCTGTTCTGATCTCTGACTTTTTCCCCATGGCTCCAGTCCCTGTTCTATATTATTAGAAACTGTTGAACATATTTATGTTAACTTTGGCCATCACCAAACCTGCAGCAAATTAGTATTGGTACATAGACAATTTCTTGTCCCTTTTTTTCCCAGTAAAGAGAAGCATCTTGATGGGTCTCACAGCAGAGTATGAAAGACCTGGTTTAAAGTCATGCCTTGAACTACTCCTTATTTGAATATCCAAGCCTAAATGTGTGAAGTCATTGTTCATAATGAGTTCGTGCAGGATACAGAACATTTTCTTCATTGCTTAACAAAGTATCATGGCAGTTCAGTGAAATAATATTATGGTTTTATTATCCAAACCCAGTTCAAGCTTAGATTCTGCATGTGAGACTGTAATTTATATTCCTTAGAGAAAAGGATGCAAAAGAAGTTTTAAGTTCATGTGTAGCATATGGCTCTCTTTTCAATTGAAAGAATTCTAAATCCGTTTGGTTTTTTAATGGTACAGAATTGAGGTTTCAGACCTTTGCCTTTCCATGTCCTCTCCAGGGATCAGAGTAGAGTTAAGGAGATATGCCTGAAACCAAGCACAGACTTTGATTGTTTTTAGTTAGATGGGTCTGTTAATGAGCATTAATGCACAGCTTTCCAGGGATAGAAGGTGGGAAGTCCTGCCAGCATGGCTAAGTGCAAATCCTTCTGTAACCTTTGTGCAGCTGGGGAAGGGACTCTCCTGTAGGAGGAGGGTGGGCATCGTTTGGCACTCTGTGGGATTCTGTGTGGAAGATGTCAAAATTCTGTGTGGAAGTCTCTGGTTCCCTGTGGCTGCCCCAGAACTGGCCAGTTTGAGGTGCTGTGGGACACTGGAGTTGTCTGGAGTGGCTGTCCAGGATGCTCAGTGCTCCCTGAGCTGATGATTTGATTCCCTTCTGCAGAAAAGAAGCAGAGGACGTGGGAAATGAGGGAGGATGTTGACATGCAACAAGAGTAATGGAAAAAAAACTGTAAAATCGTTAGAAAAAAATCCTTTCTGGTTGTAACATTTAAGGAAGGATGATGAGAAGGTATTTTTAGGTTGTTTTATAGAACAAGCCATGGTTGTATCTGGATACTGTATTGTCTTTCCAAGGCTGTGATTGTAATCCACAACATACCATAAAAAGCAGAGAGAAAAAGGGGGGTTCTGGCAGAATGTGTTGCTTGAGCAGATTTTTGAAGCATCTCTTCCTGGATTGTCCAAAGGAATTTAGACCTGTGTGAAGTATTTTTTGTGGGTGGTGGTTGTTTTCTTCTTGTTCAGAGAAGTTCCCTTAAAAAAATAGATTTGGTTGAATTAGTGTATTATTTTCAATATAAAACCTTGTCCTCTGGGAAAAACTACTTTGATTCCAGCTGTTGAATTCCTTGATGACAGAACTATATCCAGTATTTCTAATCCAAAGTAAAATTTGGTGTTGTATCAGTCCTTGTTATTAGAAAATAATCCTTTCCCTCTCTAAATTGTCTTTATAATATTTTAACCCCTTTTTTAGTGTTACTGTTATTCGTTACTCTGGGGAAATGTATTTCTGTTTATAAACATCAGTCACATTATCTTTATTTCCTATTTAAAATAGCAGTAAAATATTAAATCTCTTTGGTACAGCAAAGAGATTGCCTGGCTATTATTGTAAGGTGATTTTTTACTGTATAATGTACTCAGTGTCAGGTCTCAGCTTTTCATCTGCACCAGATATTAAGATAATTTGTTCATATACCATATGGTGCCAGATGCAAATGGCACAGTCAGATGGAGCTGTTGTAATACATTCGTGCAGTAGCGTCTGAATTAAGTTGCTAATTCCAAGAGAATTTTGTGGCATGCTAACCTGATTCAGCATAAGTAGATACTCTGTTGTATAAGAATTTTTTAGAAGGACTTCTGCAGTGTTCTAAAGAGCAAGAAAGGGTTGGCTTCTGCCTTATGTGGTTCTTAATTCAGATCTTAGTGTGAAAAGGAAGTGGTTGAATTAGCAGCTTGGATTCTTCAGCCTAGATGGGTGTGTGTGTAGAGAGGGGAAATCTGGGAGACTTTCCAGAAAGAAATTGCCAAATAGTTGCTGTCTGGATGTAGTTTAATGTCAGTAAAATACCATGCTTGCCCTGGATGTATTCCCCTTCCTTATTTTCAGTCTTGTTTGTGTTCTCCCTATTGTTCAGGCCTTTCCTCAGAGCTTTTGAATAACCAGACTTGACACATTTACAGACTTCTTGCATTCAGAACTAAACTACCTAAACCAACAGCTCAAGAACTTAAATCCCCTTTTTCTCTTCCTTCCCCTTTCTTCCCTCCTGTGGTAGGCAGAGCTCTCCTACATTTCCCCTGCCCAGTCTGCCCAGCCTCCCCAGCAGCCCCTGGCCCTAAGGCACAGCAGGTCCCACCTTTCTGAGAGGTATTTGCACCATGATCTCCACCAAAACCTGCTCCTGGTCCCTGCTGTAGTCTGTGCCCCTCAAGTCCTCATCCCCAGGCTCCTGCATGGACTCCTCTCCATTGTGGGCTCTCTCCAATGGAACCTCACCCAGCTCCCACAAATAACTCCCTCTCTTCCCAAAATCTCCTCACTGCAGGTTCTGCTGCTCTCAGGTGCCTTCACATCCTCAGGCTGCTGCACTGCCCTGGCAGAATCACTTTCCTCCCCTAATCCTCTGACTCTGTTTTGCCTAGTTAATGCTAAAGAGCCTGGATTTTTCTCAGGGAGAGAAGGCAGCAGCTCTGCCTAGTGCTGCTTTAGACAATCCCATCCTAGATTAGCTCCTAAAGAGCCATCAGACAGCTCTGTGCAACTCCTTTTCCTTCTCCTTTTCCTTCTCCTTTGGATGAAGCTGATGCCCTTTGCAGCAGCCAGTGAGTACCACGTGTCCCTGCTCCATTCCTGCTCCGTTCCTGCCTAAGCCACAGCCCCTGGCAGGTCCTGGGGACCATCCCAGAGGATCAAACAGCCTTCACTTGCTGCAGAGATGGGAAATGCCAGGAAGGAGGTGAATGAAGATGGGAGAGAAAAAATTGGGGTGCTGTTTTTCATTCTGTCTCATCACTTCTACTCCCCAGTCTGAACGTAGCTTGTAGCTCAAAGCAGAGCACTGAGATTGAATTAGAAAAAAAAGTCAGAAATGGGAAAATGGAGAAACAAACCAAGTAAATAGTCCAGGTCATAAAAACAGTCTTTGTGACAGCATGGATTAGAAATAGGGAATTCCTGGCTTCCAAACCTGAGTTCATACCTCGTGATGCTGCATTTTTCTCTCTTTCTGGAGGGAGTATGTCTGGCTTGTGATCAGGAAGAGGTGTGTTTTTTCAGGAATATATTTTTCCACTTTCTTCATTCCACATTTCTTCAACAAGGTGAACCCTTCAGGGAAAGTGTAGGTAATGCTGTGGGGATGAAAAGTCACTTGATACCAAACCTTCCTCAGTGGCAGACAAAATAACAATTGTCCTGTTTTTAATTTTTATTTAAATTATTTAGAGGTTTCTAGTAAGGCATGAATTTGATTTTTTTTTTCTTAGAAGTGGATGTGCTAAGAGTAAGGAAATTAAAATTTCTGAACATGCAGTTCTTAACCAGAGTCTTAATTTTAAAGGTTCAGAAAATATGGAATTCAACAAAATGTCTATGCAATTGAATTTCTGTTTCCACTTCATTAATACTAATCCTGTTATCTCTGTTGAAGTACTGAAGCTGTGGAAGAAATATTGCTGATAGGATAGAGGAAAAAAAGAAATATAAGCTCCAATAACTTTAATTACGAGCAGGAAGAGAGAGTCACCCCACAAAATGGGGGGGTTGTGGTTTTTTGTTTCTGGTTTGGTTTGTTGCACTTTATTTTTTAATAAAAAATAAAATTCTTAGCTCAGGCTTTTATGTTGGAACTTTATTGCCAGATGATGTAAAACAAATGTAACTTATCCACCAAATTGGATTGATCCACCAAATTGAATTGGAAATATAAACTCAAATATTGGAAATATAAACTCATCCTACTGTCACTCTCTAAATACGACCATGGGTTTTTATGACTGAAATGATGCAGAGATGTAGATGAAAGAAACATTTTGCTGTAAAGCCAACTAGATGTTACTTAACTGTTTCTTTTCTTCCTTTATTAAAAAACCAGGCTTTTTATTTGGAAAAATGCAGCTTGTCTTGTTTATTTCCTTTTAAAATGTGAACCAGCCTAGGTTTTGGGTGCAAAAATCAAGAGTAGATTATAGTAGAATGTGGAGTTCCCACCTCTTGGTGTGGATGGTGACTGTTCATCCCAACCCTAAGAACCTCACCCTGAAACATTACAGGAATTCTTGAAAACTATGTTGTGTATTCAGCTGTTCTACATATTATTCAAACTGTTCTGTTATGAAATTGTGTTTAACCATATACCTTTGACTTTTTTAAAGCAACAAGGAAAACTGGAAAATTCAAGACAGGTCATGATAAGTCTTTACTTTTAAGTGCACCTAAATTATTCTCATAAGACTTTATTTTAAGTACACAAAGCATTGTAGACTGCAACTGTGCACGTGATTACCCATCTTCATCTTGTTTCTTTATGAAAAATTGGCATTGTCAAGGTTGTAAGGCCAAAAATCTGACCTATGTTATATAATCAGTTTACTATTGAAAAAACTTTTGGGGCTTTTTAATGTGAAGTTTGTGTTTTATTTGGGTTTGGTTTTGTTTTTGTGTAAATGTGCAGTGGTTACTTTTAACCATGAGGTTTTTCAGTCTTCTACTTCTTGGGTCAGTTGCTGTCTGCAGGTGGGAAAAAGAAGTTGTACAAGTTCTGCTTTTTGGAAAAGGAAAAATGGGAGAAGTGTTAACCTGATCACAGCTGTAGTTTTAAGCCATGCCAGTTAGTTCAATTATTTGGTTTGCCAACCTTGACAGTATCATTTCTATCTTTATGAAAATATTAAGATGTTTAAAAGCCAGTAAAGCCACAGTCAATGGGGAGATGTATTTAGACTTTGGTTGATCAGTTTTCATTCAAAAACAAACAAAAAAGAAGCACTTGGAGCTAAACTAAGGCCAGAATTTGTGGTCTGGGAAGAGAGAACTACAAGCAGTTCTTGGGATCTAAGCCATAGTTACAAATTCATTTCCCTCAACTTGAAACAGGCATAATAATTCAGTATTGGCAATCGCTGATTTATCTTGAGTGTTTTGAAACTGTCTTCTAAAAGTTTTGAAAACAAAAACAAGCTCGCAGAGTAATTGCCTCTGAAGAACAAAGCTTCAAACAAAAGTGCACACAGATCCAGGTTTTGCCAAGCACGTCCGTGGGAATGCTGCGAGGAGAGAGCCCTGGGCAGGAGGGGACTGTGGCACATCCCAGCTAAGCCCCATGTGGCTGTAAGGTGTCATGTGTGTCCCAGACATGCATTCCCGAGGGTAAACCAGCCTCCCTGGGCTCGGGTAGCTGCAGCTGTGTGATGGCTTGGCCTGACACTGCTGGGTGCTGGGGGTCCCTGCATTCCTGGGGCTTGCAGGAGCAGCCCCCAAGAGCTCCCAGCTCCTGCCCCACACTGGGGCCGCTGTCCCTGCTCCCACTGCCCCCAGACACTGCTGGGATGCCACGAGCATTGCCCCCCTTGGGACAGGCTGGCTGGGGCTTGGGGCTGAGCATGTTGTGGCTGCTCAGGGAGCTGTGGTGCAGGGCCAGCCCGCAGCCTGCTCGTGTTGCTGTTTGAACAGATTTCGGTTGGCTCACGTGAATGCCCCCTTCCAGAATGGGCTTTCAGAGCAGTTTGTGTTCAAGTGAGCTTCTCCATGAGACATGCTTCCATTGAAATGCAACGTACATCTTACCTGCTGATGACTTGCTCTCTTTTGCCATTACAGTGTGTGTTAAATTTTTAATGTAGTGGTTGATGACCTTTCTTCCCCCCAAGGTGGTTTCTGCTGCATCATCAGAGTGTTCAGTAAGTGCCACTGACAGTACTGTTTGTCCCACGTTTTTCAGATATATTGGGAAGTCGGATTCAATAACGATCAGCGTGTGGAATCACAAGAAAATCCATAAAAAGCAGGGAGCTGGTTTTCTGGGTTGTGTGAGGCTTCTCTCAAATGCAATCAACCGCCTTAAAGACACTGGTTGTAAGTAAGCTAAGGACAGATTTCTTCTCTTTCAGCCCAAGCTTGCATGTCCAGACTTTTGAAGAATGACACTTAATTGGGTTTTTTCTGGGTTTTATAAAGCTTGTATATTCCAGGTGGTTTGGTAGCTTGTGATGGTGTTCTGTTTCATTGTGTGATTTACACTTTGTGCCCTCATTTTGTAGATCAGAGGTTGGATCTCTGCAAGCTTGGGCCAAATGACAACGATACTGTTAGAGGACAGATAGTAGGTGAGTAAAGGTTTTTGTCTTTTAGTTATCTTTTTATCTTTAGGTTCTATAGTAGCTATGTCATTTTTCTATATTGGATTCTCCTGTCTACTGCCAGAGCCAACTGGACCTCAGGCTAGAATTATTTAGGTAGAGAATTTTAAAAAAACCCCAAACAACCAAAAAACAAACCAAAATGCTCAAACCACCTAAAAAAAACCCAAACCAAAATACTACAATAAATGTTGGGGCAAATAAGACCATAGATAATAAAAAAAATAGAAAGTTTTTTAATTTCACTGTAAAGAATTGTTACAATTTGAGTGTGAACTCTTTGTGAAAAACTGACTACAAAATTCTTGGCCATTGAGAACTCCAGCAAGGCTGTGCTTCCTTAGGTTTTGGGAAAAAGCAAAAAAGCATCTTGCTTATAAGCAAGTGAAATTACTGTCTGGGGTGACTTGATCCATTAATTTTGTGTTTTCATGGCTTATTAACAAGTCTGTCAACAACCTCAGTAACTGTGCTTTGTCATTCTATGAACTCATGAACTTTAAATAACTTCAAAATTAAAAAGAAGCTGGCAAATTGAAAAGCAAGTATCCAAAAAAAACTTGATAAATACTCCCTTTTTTGGTGCATTCTCAATTCTTTGTTTGGTCCATTCTCAGTTCTCAGCATTTCTAATAGGTCATGTAAGTCAAAAGTTGGTCAGGATAAGGAAGTTCTTTATTTATACAGCAAGTTTTTAATTAGAATATTTGGAAATGAGGGAAAGAAAAGTGAATTTTTATGCTCAGTTTTATGTTCAATCCCTAGTTGAAATTATATCCAAACAGCACTTCTGTCATCCAGGGAAAGCCTCTGAAATATTAGTCAGCAAATGTTTGTTTGCCTCCCTGTGTTGAATAACACCTGTGACTTTACCTCTTGGTGTTGTTAACTGTCTCTGTCTGATCTGCAAGTGCTTGCATTAAGATCAGAGTGTGGTAGCACAGGAGAGTGAAATGATGGTAGAAATGGGGATTTGTAAGTGCACTGCTGACCCTCCAGGCTGTTCTCAATTACATTTGCCACATGAGCTTGCACTGAAGAGTAAAGGATGAATCAGTCACTTCTCTGGGGTGTGTTTTGTTATGGGTTTGATTTGCTTGCTGGTTTTTCTCCAGTGTCCTGGTCCCTTGAGCATCCCTGTGTGTGCAGCTTTGTTTGTGGGGGCCCTTGGAGAGGAGGCTGAGCTGGGAGCACAGGAGAGCAGGTTCAGGGTGTACTGGGAGCTCCACAGCACAGAGCAGGGACTGCTCTCATGCTGCCCTCCAGAGTATGAACTCACATCCTGGTCAGCATCGCTGGGGAGCACTGCCATTCATTAAAGGGAAAAAAACAAACCCAAAAAGCCCCTCCCCAATGTAGAAAGGTTTGAGAGGCCTGTGGCAAACGCATTGCAGCATGTAATGACAAAGAGACTTCAGAGAGAACTGGTCAGAGAGAGGTCAGAGCTAGTCACAGTGAGGGCACAGCCTGGACTGCCAGGCTGCCTTTAGCTGATGTGCCCATGGGAAGTGGTGCAGCCAAAGCAGTTCTGGCTCTCTTGGGCTGCTGCTGGGGCTGCCCCTCAACACCAGGAGCTGTTGGATTGTGCACTGAACCTACAGAAAACCACCTTGTCAGGTTACAGCAGAGACCCAGAGCAAATCTGAGTGTTCTGTTTTCTGGTGATACCATCAGAAAGGTCAAGTTTACTCAGTCATGGTTCTGTTTTAATTTAATGCATCCTTGGTAAAGTTCCAGAGACTCATGTCTTTTTTTATTTAAGTTGTCATTATTAATCTTCTTATATTTTAATCTGTCTCCACTAATGCAACTTTATTGTGTGGATGAATGAGCCTGAGTAAAACTAGATAATTCCACGACAGTAGTTAGATGGTAGAGAAATTAAAAACAGAATCTGGATCATAGAACATGGATTAAAAATAAGTAAAAAATAGTTCTAAATTCTAAGTTATAAAAGAGTTCTAAATATACTCTCAATTCTTCCAGTTATAAACTCTCTTAAATTAAGAGACCATGCAAGATTGCAAGCCAATATTAAAATGTAATTGATGCCTCCAGTAGATGATAATCTTGCAAATCAAATGCACAGTGGTTATGCCTTGGTACAGGGACCAAGGCGATCTTTATCCTAAATCCCTGAGTTGTCTTCAAAGAGAGGAAGAAAAGGGGGCATTTTCAGCAATGGATCCAGGGGCACCTGAACGGTGTCTTAATCTTGCAGCTTTTCTGTGCCCCCACTTTATTTCTGAAGTGGCAGTGCAGAAAAAAATAAGCCCTCACTTATTACAAAATGAAGCCATGCGCAAATTCTGCTCCTCACGTAGGCAAAGGGGAGGCAATTGCCTTTGTTTATGTTAATTTCAGTCTCTGTTTTGCTTGCCAAACCTTGCCTACCTGCAGTGGTGTGAACTTGTAGTGTGTGGGGTCATGGCAGAATAAATACATCATGTGAGATCCTGGTTTGGTTGAATTTAAAGGTGTCTTTCCCTCTGAAGCTATTTTGTCATGTTAGGGTCCATGGACGATTAGGGGTTAATATGGATTAGGAAAGCAGCAGGTACTCCAGGACTCCCTGGCTTGGTCTGTTGAGTCCTGAGCTTCCATGCATGTTGTTGTTGAAAATTTGGGGGCTCAGGCAAAATCTGCCAGTTGTGCTCCAGCTTTTTAAACTTCTGATCTTTACAAAAGTTTGGTTGCATCCAGGTTAAGGTCTGTAAGATCATTTCACTTCATATAAATAGGACTTGAAGACAGTTGTCCAGAGGTGCATTAATACCACCTCAAGAAATGTGGGCCACAGCACGTATTTAGCTTTTTAAGCAATTGTTTTATTGTTAAAGGCATAACAAAACATCAAAAACCCACCCCAACCCCACAGGAACACAAGTGTCATAAATTATCAGATTGGACACTTTCAAACTGTGATATTGGGAACAAAAGCAGCCTAAAAAAAAATCTTTGTTTTCATAATTGCAGTACAAAAGCTTCAGGCATAAATATCCATTACAGCGAATCATGTAAAAAAAGATTAATTTAAAAGTGAAGCAGTTTTGGTGAGGGCAAGGAGGGGCATTTCAGGCTGCTTTGTGTGGTTTGCATTTGAATTCATACTACTGGTGTTAGAAAGTAGCCAACAAACCAAATCTGAAGTGCTTCTAGCAGTTACATTTTGCATGGTTTTGTGTGTGTGTGTCTGTTGAAACCCATGGGCACACAAAATACATTGAAAAGGAGTCAAAACCAGGGAGGAATTCCTTATTCTAGCTCTTCCTGTTCAGATTTCTGCTGTTGGCCCTGTCCCAGCTGAGTGTGAGGTGGCACCCCAGTGCCACCATTTGAATGTCACAGTCCATCTCAACACACAAAATTAATTGCAGTTTCACAGTTCACTTCCTTTTCTGCCTTAACATGCACTTATGTTCCTTAAGCTAACTTTTTTGAAGTAAGATGTAGAGAATTCCATCTATGAAAACAGAGTTCCTTTGCAAACATCTTTGATTTTTGAGGAGGAAAAAATATCCTGAACATGTCTCAGCTTAGTCCTCCTCCAAGTTGTACCAATTCTCTTTCAAATGTAACCACAATTTACATTCAGATGCCACATCTTTAATAATTCTTTTATTATCCTAATAGTCAGTCTTCAGTCCAGAGACCGAATAGGCACAGGAGGACAAGTTGTGGATTGCAGTCGGTTATTCGATAACGATTTACCAGATGGGTAAGCTGACATCACTGTGATGTAAACACAAATACAGCTCATGCAACAGACTTCTGTAATAGTGAGAACTCTGTGCAAATGAATTATTTTAAATCTTGCACTCAGAGTTCTGCATTCAGCACAGGAGCTGAGCCAGCTGGGGTACGCAGAGCAGTTGAGCAGTTGGCTGTTGTCTTATCTGCACTTGGAAAAGGGGAGGTGACATATGTAAAGAAATGCTTGGAAAAACAACTTGTCCAAGAAAACACATATTTCAGATTAAATCACAGCCAGCAAAGTGCCTTATGCATGCAGTAGTTTTGTAGCAAGGAAGTGACCACACAATCTGGCTGCCCTTCTGCAGCACCATGTAGAGGTGTAGATCCACCATGATAAACATGGATCACTTCTTCTTCCTGCACCTCTTAGGGAAGAAAACATGACTGGAAAAGGTAATGCAGCTCAAGTTTGTGCTGTATGTACCTTCCACATGCAGGGTTTAGGATTCTTGTTTGTCCCTGTGAGAGTTAATGACATCATTATCACCTAGAACAGTTTTGAAAACACAGGAAAATACTCTGGTTTAGGTTCTGGTGCTGTCAGCAACTTCTTCAGAGCAAACACAGACTTTCTGAATGTGATTCTTGGCAGGTAAAGACAGGAGAAAATTAGTTTTCAGAGGATAAATTTTTAAAGACAAATCACCATCCTAGTCTGTAACAGCATTCTTTTGTTAATTTGGAGTCCAGATAAGTCAAAAACATTTTTGAAAATGCTTCTAAATTTTCACTTCAGAATGTTCCTTGCATAAATATTGCTCACTTAATTGTGTAACTGCAAAATTTGCTGTACAGCCTCATGTATTTCAGAGTGCAAATTTAATGTTAATTCAAAAGTCACATTATTTGAAGCTGACTTTTTAATGAAAGCAAGTAGTGCATGAAGATGCTATGAAAGCATTTGTTCGAGTCAGTGGTCAAAAGAAGTTAAATGCATTATTAAACATGTTTCCAAGAAGTTCCTTTATGTGACTATTAGGATTTAATTAGAATTCAAGCCGTTATTGAATATGAAGGTGTGATATTGTTAATGATGTGCCTGGTTCCAAGGGAAGAATATGTTAAACCATTTCTGAGTTGAACTTTTAGTTGTTTCCTGTCACCTCGTTCAGCTAACGTGATTCATAGCAGTGTAAGTCTTCCTGAGCTGGGCATTTCTGTTGGAAACGTTTTGTGCCCTGGTTTCCTGGAAATAGCACTCGGTGCCTTATCTGTGCCTGTCTGAACTGCAGGTGGGAGGAGCGCAGGACTGCCTCTGGAAGGATCCAGTACTTAAACCACATTACACGGACAACTCAGTGGGAGCGACCCACACGGTGAGGAATTCCTTGGGATGCTGTGGGGAGGATGGAGTTTGATTATTGAGCAGTTCCAAGTGGCTCTCACAGAGGGATTGGATTGCTCATTCACTCTGCACAAGCTGAATACTCTCCTTCTTTAGCATCCTTCTCCTTTAGTCTGCCTAATATATAACTCAGAAAATCATTATGACTCCTTTTTTCCCTGCCCTAGTCGTAGCATCTTTGCTTTCTTGTAGAGATGCTATGGTAGAGCTCTGTAAATACAGACATTACATTTTGCAGACATCTTAAGGAGTGAAGAAGTGAGACTGTGAGTAGCTGTCAGACACTGTTCTGTGACCTTGTAACCTAGAACAGTTACAGCTGATTGCTGCAGAGTGTGTTTGGAAATCATTGTGATCACTTTTTCTGATCACTGTAGACGTGTGTTGTGAAACTGTTCCTCAAGCCACTTCTGCTGTTGCCTGTGTTGCAGGCGGTGTCATTGCATTTTTATCAGACTCCTCTGCAGACTGTCTGTGCCTGCAGATGTTCTCTTCCATTCTCAATATCGTTCTGGTCTCTGCATGGATATATTTGATATTAAATAATCTGGACTGTTAACACTGTCAGTGTTGATACATGTTTGCAGTTTTGGATTGAAAGGACTGAACAGCTTTTTGTTTTCCTAGTTCTGCTTTTCCTGGTATGTTGAAATACCCATTCTAAGCTCTAGACACAGTAGAAAAGCAAAAGCAAAATGTATAATTTGTGCTGGGGATTTCTTGTGACCTCGTCAATCCCCCTTTAACCTATTTAAACTCCTTTTGAAAGCGGCACTGTGATACAAAATCACTCTGGTCAATGTTGCTCTCATGAGCAACTGCTTTTATTCTTGCTTAGCCCTTTTTCACCATCCTGACCTAATAACATTCTGTAAAAGTTAGAAGGAATACCAAGGCCTGATCATTCCTCAGCCACATGAAGGCAAGGTGATGAGAAGGTCTGGAGGTGAGGATGTTCCTCTGGTGAGCACGGGACAGGAGCTTCCTGCTGCAGTCGAGGTGTCCTGGGCTGGTCGCTGAGGTGTCTCAGAGCCCGGGCTGCAGCTGCCCCAGCTGTGCCGTGTGGCCATCAGCACTGAGGTTTCCCCGCTGTCACTGAGGTTTCCCCGCTGTCACTGAGGTTTCCCCGCTGTCACTGAGGTTTCCCCGCTGTCCCCAGGCCAGCGTCCGAGTACTCGAGCCCGGGCCGGCCGCTGAGCTGCCTGGTGGACGAGAACACCCCCATCGGCGGCACCAACGGCGCGTCCTGCGGGCAGGCGGCGGATCCGCGGCTGGCCGAGAGGAGGGTGCGCTCCCAGAGGCACAGGAACTACATGAGCAGGACACACCTGCACACCCCCCCCGACCTGCCTGAAGGATACGGTATGGAAACCAAAGGGGTTTACTTGTGGGGCTCTCAAGGAGCAGGAAAATGGGTTGTGTCTTCTCACGTGGAATTTTTATTCCTTAGTTGAGGGAAATCAGTCTTTGTGAGTCTTCGTGCTGCGTTTTTTGTTCTTACATTAATTAATTTGTCTTGCTTTCACAGAGCAAAGGACAACTCAGCAAGGTCAGGTCTATTTTCTGCACACTCAAACTGGTGTAAGCACGTGGCACGATCCAAGAGTACCTAGGTAAGAAGTGGTGGAAGTACCCTTAATATTTCAAATCAAAATTCCTCCAAGTTTTCTCTGGCTTACATTTCTGATTCTTGGCCCCTTATACATTATTTTAACACGTCATTCATCAAAATGAATTAGTCTTTCTTACCCAGTTCTTTGAGTTGGTATTGTAATGAAAAAATGGAAAACTAGGAAATAGATTACAGTAGTAACAGGTAACAGGTAAACAGGTACACTTCACTGATTCTAGATTTTGCATGTGAATTAGAGCCAAGTCCAGATTTTAATACTCTGCAACATAATGAAAAAAAAAAGAACCTGAACATTTCCAAAAGACGTTCCATCAAGATACTTTGGTGAAAACTGGGTTGGATTGAGAAGTAAAACTGCTTTTCCTGTTGCAATTATCTCAACACTTGGAAAAAAACAAATCCTAGGTCTTTTAAATTCCATGGGCATATTTATATTGTATTTACACAATATACATGTACATAGTGTTCATGAAAGTACATGTGATTATTGCTGCTGTGTTTGAAAGGAAAGGATGATAGTGGACATTATTGGTAGCTTCTGAGTGTCCTTTAAAAAGCCAAGAAATCCTATTGTAAATTATAATAAATCCTGTTGTAAACACTTTCCTCCTGAAGTCCAGGAATGGTGGTGTGAGATTTGTGTGGTTTGAAATTGGCAGCCTGTGCTGACATTTGTGAGAACCAGGGGAACACTGTCAGTTGCTGCTGGTGTTCCTGTGTTCCTTCTCATGGAAATGGGTGTCCCAGGAAGGGTAAAATGCCTCAAGACCACACTTCATTGTTCGAGTTATTTTTCTGTTACTGTTTCTGTGTTAGAAGATGGAACCTTGCTTTGAAACAGCTTTGATGCACTGCCTGCAGAGCTGAGACTGCACTTGTGTAGGAAGTCAGTGACTTGTGTATTATGCAAAACTAAGCTCTAAAAAACTAATATGAAGATCTAATCCTTAAGTTTGGGGTGTGATAGTTTGTGTGCAATCTAAGTCAGCACTGCCCTGAGGTGTGGCAGCACAAACAGCAGGAATGTCTCTGAGAACAAGAATTGTTTGCATGAGGATGGAATTTATGTAATTTCTAAGGAATACTGTATTTTTGAGGCTAATAGGCACAGTCATGTAGCCAGCAAAAGTAATCCCTGCAGTACAGCAGCAGTGTGTTCATGGGGAATAGCAGCAGAAGTTCAATCCCAGGGCTCCTCAAGTCTTTGGAAGCCCTGCAGACTGCACCTTTTAAGGCATTCTGACCCTTGGCTCTTTCCTCCCACAGCTCCCACGATTCTGGGAGAGCTGCACACCTTTGGGAAGAGCTGCACAGGGCAGTGTGAGGGGTCTGAGGTGTGAATTGCATCCATGAATAATCAGTGTATATTTTTGGAGACCAGCATTTGTTTTCAGTGAGGCTCTGGAATTAATTTACATCTTCCTAATTTCAGCAGAATTTTTCTTGAGACCTCTTGAGCCACCTCTGCATTGCTCAGGGCAGAGCTGAGTCATTGTTCATCTACTCCTTGATTTGGAATAGTTTATTAGAGAGCTGTTTGCTTCCCACAAGCCCATGGGCTTCTGGGGCAAAACAGCCAGTGCCATACACATCCCATGTGTAATTCTTCATGGAAAGTATAACTCTTCAGAAATACAGTTTTGTTTTGTATGAGTTTCTAAAGTGTGATTCACAGCTCCTTACGTGACTAATGTTGTTTTAAAAAATGTTTTCTGTCAGAATTGGTGCAGAACTGCAATTCCATTTTGACAAATATGGCAATGGTCTTTATTTTTGTTTGAAACCCTTATTAATTTCACAGCTGAAGTTCGTTTGTAGAATGAGGGCTATTTGATAAGAACTTTTTTCCCCACGGCATGTGTTCTGGGGTGTGTTTTTGCTGTGGTGGACTTCTACCTTGGGAGCAGAGATTCCAGCTGAACAGATCAAGTTTCTGAAACAATACATTTTCTCAGACTTCATGGAATTGTTCTGTTACATTTACGCTTGTTTGGCTCGGAGGCCAATTGCTGAGGTATTTTTCATTTTATATTTGTTTTCACAGGGATCTTAGCAACATCAATTGTGAAGAGCTTGGTCCACTGCCTCCTGGATGGGAGATCCGAAATACAGCAACAGGCAGGGTTTATTTTGTTGACCATAACAACAGAACGACGCAGTTCACGGACCCGCGGCTCTCTGCAAATCTGCACTTGGTCCTAAAGTGAGTCTGGAGCCGGGTTCGGATGGGGATGGCTCTGCCAGTCCGGGAGGCTTTCAGGAGTAGCTCTGACACACCACCAACTTCTCTGTTCCACGGCAAAGAGGAGTTCGAAAAAGTCTGCAGGAGCATTTAGGCAGGAATGTGGCTGTTGTGATGCACAAGGGGAGGGAAGCAAGTGCTGTCTGGTGGGAAAGATTGGCCCGTAGATTTTTGCTTAAGAGCAAGAGAGATGCTTTGTTTTCTTTGTACCTCATTCTATTTTCAGTTACGAAGAACTTGTTTTAAAATAAGAAGTTGCATGTGAGCCAGTGCTGTGAAATACTGATGAGTTAGGAAGGGGTGCATAAGTGCCCAGCTATGCTCCTGGAGTAAGGAGAAATAACTCAGCTCTTGCCTTCAGTTTTAGAGTAGGACTAGTTGATATGTTCTCAAAATAAGGCCCCAGTAATTTAACTCAGCTTTTTGTAAAAAAGGATGAAACGAGAACCACGTTTTTTCTGCCTTCGTGTTTTGATATCATAATTTCATCTCATAGTTTTAAAAAGAGAAGGGGAAACTGAAAAGAATTCTGACTCGTGTTTTATTCCCTAGGCACTCATTACACACTGGGGATTTTCTACTAAAAATGGAAACGAAAAAGCAAACAAATATTTCTTTTTTCTCTCAGACGGCTTGTCCTGGTACTTGGGAGTTTATTCCATTGTTTCTCCTGCTAATACCTTTTAATACTCTTGGGAAACACCTGTGAAGTATTGAGTAGGTGTTAAGTGGAAGAAACAATGAGGAGTTGGTTAGATGGAAAGCCAGGCTGCCCTGGCTGAGGAGTCAGTAGGAGGAATAGTCCTGAAAGGAAGTGAATCATTGGAAAGAAAAGCTGAAGGAAAGAATAATGGGAACAAGCACCGAAAAGACAAAGCTGAGGAATGGAAAGTCATATCCAGGAGACAGCATGTCTTTTATGCAATACACAAGAGCTGTCTAGCCTCTACCGAATATACACTTGAACCTCACACCCCAAACGGGAGAGAAGCCTAAATATAGAAACATGTATTTTATTTAGAGGAATCATTGATTTTATATGTGTATGTTACAGGCTTTTGTAAGCTGCCATCATCCAGACACTTCAGGTGCTTTATTTTTAAGTTTAAAACAAATCACTACTCATTTTAGCTGAATTGAAATTGGTGGTTTGAAAATAAAATTATCTTGAAAAGAATCAGTAGCGAAGGAGCATGTTCATGTTTGAAACACAGAAAAGTTCCTAAAATCAATTCAGATTTAGGTAAAGAAAAACTTCAGACCCTCTTAACTACAGCAGTGCGATTCTGAAGCTGTAGGAAACTCAGTGAACTGGGCTGTATTTGACAAACTGGCCTCCTCAGGTGGGTTTATTTGGAAATGGCAGGAGGGGCACAGTACCCAGTTCTACATGGATTGTGGAAGACAGATAACAGAGCTACCTTTGTTAGCTGAAAAGTCCAATTTTACTTTTAATTTCCAGAATCACAGAACCATTTAGCATTTATTTGAACTAAGAGTTCTCCTACAGTGTGCTGTAGGAGTTCTTAATTTGTCCATCTGTCTTTCATTAGGAAAGGATTTCAGAAACTCACCCAACAGTGTCATCAGCAAAGTCTGCTGCCTGATAAATCATTTTTGGTGTTTATTCTTTTATTACACCAAACAGGATGTGTGAAAGTTTCCCCTGCCTTGAGTCCACCTCCTTATTTGTTCTTTAAAAAGCAAAAAAAGTAGTTTGCCTTAGGCCTGTCATTTTGTGAATTATCTAAGAAATAAGTTTAGTCTTCGTGTGGGGATGGGTGTGATAGACTTTTAGGTTCAAAGGCATGAGAAAAAGTTCACTCTCAGTGATACTGACTTTTCTACTGAGCTGAGTAAAGCCATTTGTTCTTCCAGTTATGACATTGTAAGTTATGAAAATAATCAGACTTGTTACCCAGTTCTATTCTAAGACATTGACCAAGAGTTTCTGATAATTTTGATAAGTTATGGCACCTGAAAAGTATTTAGTTGTATCCTTAAAACACTGTATGGATTCAAGCATAGTCATTCAGCTGTGAAAACAAACTAAGAAATGAGATTTAATGACCTTAAGCACTACAGGTTGTTTAGCTAATACTGCACTGATCATTTTTAGCAAATCTGGAAGATGGTGTTTTATTTTTCTCCTTATTTTGTATAGTATAGTATTTCCTTGTATAGTACTTCCTTATTTTGGGGAGCACTGTGTGGAGAAAAGTAATGATTTCATTTGATGCTAAAATCATTCTCATTTCACAGATTACATTTCCTTTAAGAATGACCCTGTCTAGCTTTGTGCTTTGGGGAACTGTGACTTTTTACCCTTAAATGTGGTATGGAGGGATGCTCACTTTAGTATATAAATATGGCTTTCTCTGGTAGTCCTATACAGGGAATATTTTTACTCTAGTCCTCCTTATGGAATTAGAAATTCCAGAAGACAGAATAAGGATTTAGCTTTATATTGTATCAAGTAAATGCAGTTTAAATGAGATTCATATTTAAAACTAATCACAAATGAAAATTACTATGCACATGACACAAATGACATAGAGCCATAGAACCAGAGCTAATGTGTGTCTAAATTATTACAATGATTTTTATTTTTCTGGGTGTCCCTGTGGAAAAGTCTGGAGGTGAATTTTGTTTGGCCAGGAGAGTTTCCCACTAGGCCTTATCTCAAAACAGACAATAGGCTGAAATTACAGAATACATTAAAACAGTGTTTGGTTCCATCTATTATTTTTTGGTCTTTGATATTAAAAAAAAATGAACTAGCATTCCACTGGAAAACATTCTAAATTTTAATGTTTCTTATTTATCCAGTAAATGTAGGGTTTTCTCTTGTGCTCCACAGAGAGATGATATTCTTAGGCTTTAAAAATACAGTTTTTATCCTGTGTTGCTTGGGAATGCCATACAAAAAAGCTATAAAAATATCCACTCACTGTGTACAAGAAACGACACAGAGAGAACATCTCTGCAACATGATCCATTTACTTTTCCTAGTAAGAAGTCAGATTTACAAAATCTCTTAGAATTGCTAGTAAAAATACTTGTTTATCTGTGCCAATTAGTTCCATGTGAATTCCCACATTCCTGTGGTCCAGACTAGGCCAGGTACAAGGGACAAGGTCCTTGCCAAGCTGCCAGTACAAACATCTTTTTGTAAGCTTACTCTTTTCCAGACAAGCCATTTAAAACAGACTATGGTATTGACTGTAGATTAGAGGCAGAGTGTTTGGCAGATCCCTGAATTTTAAAATGGAGGAAGAGAAAACACGCAAAGGAAATATGGAAATGGTCTCTGAGAAATTCAGTGTCAGCAGCTTAGTAGTAAAATTCTATGGATAATACCTTATTGTATGTGCTGTAACCTTTTGCATACTACGTAGAGTAGCACTAATAGAAATAACAAGCCCTAAAAACACCTGATAGTTGCCAAGAAAGACAGACCCATATGTCTTTAGTCAGAATAAAATCACTCTGAATTTATTCTTTACTGGCCCCAGACGTTTTCTGCGTAATCACAGTAATAATCACAGTAAATTGAAAGCAGTTTAGGTACAGTGCCTGAAGGTTTAAGGAGAGAGCAGGGATGGATGCAGGGGTCTCAGAGGCAGCTGTGTGTGCTTGCAGCCGGCAGAACCAGCTGAAGGACCAGCAGCACCAGCAGCAGCAGCAGGTGGTGTCCCTGTGCCAGCTCCCGGACGAGGCCGAGTGCCTGACGGTGCCGCGCTACAAGCGCGACCTGGTGCAGAAGCTGAAGATCCTGCGGCAGGAGCTGTCCCAGCAGCAGCCTCAGGCTGGCCACTGTCGGATCGAGGTCTCCAGGGAGGAGATTTTTGAGGTAAGTCGAGATTTTGATCTGTTTCTTTACAGGGGGAAGGGGAGGGGAGTTGTTTATAGCTGTGTAAAGGGGTTGTTCCCATAGATGGAACCTCGGAGGCTGCAGTTAAATCTGGGATTTTACCATGGTGAAGAGGAAGCATTCCAGGGGGATGCCAGGACTGTCATGTAATTGAACTAGATGCATTTACCCTGTAGAGATGAACTAAATCAAGGAAGACTTTCTTTGTGGCTGGAGATGTGTCAGGGACTGGGGAAGGAGTCCGAGCACTTAATGTATCTGAGGATCCTGTCTCACTTCTTCCTTGTATTTGAGAGGCTGATGACTGTTTTATAGGGGATGTTACAAATTCAACACGATTATTAATGATCTTTGATGAAGTGTAAGTTAAGTAAAACTACTACTGAATAGGATTCCTCTTCAGAGTTTGGATTTCTTATCATCAGTCTGAATTATCTCTCCAGAATCAAATCGGTTTTACAAACTGTCGGGGCTTCTGAACGGCCACGGTGGGGTCTCTGCATTCTGATTGGAGATGTGATTCAGCAGAATCATTCTGTTGACTTGACTAAACACAGTTATAATTCATTGGCCTTTTCTGGAGAACAGTTTGTCCTTTTGAGGACTTTCACGCATCCCACCCATCCCTGTTGCATTTTTACCCCACCCACAAACTTGATTGCCCCAGTGTGTTGTCACAGTTTTTCCCAGCCAAGAAGGATTTGTGTTGGTCTTCCCTTTGGAGAGTCAGATCACTTTGTAAGCAACTGAAAAAGGAAGGGAGGGAAGGCTACAGGATTATGATGTTCTAGTTCATTCCTGTTGGGTCCCCACACACCCACCTGCCTCCTCTGTCCTGTTGAGGCAGAGCTTGGGGCTGGTACTGGACATAAATAAGAACCAGAGTTTTCTTTTTTCCCTAATTTCTTAGCATTTGTTCTGCCTTTCAACTTGCTTTCTGTGTTTCCTTGGTGAACACTTACTGACAGAGGAATAATCCTGTGGATGGCATTGCTGATTCCATTCTTAAGGTGCTTCCTGAAGGCTGTGTTTTACCCAGAGAACAAACTCCACATTTGGCTTTTCAGGCTGCAAAAGCCAGGAGCCCTTATGGAAAACAAAAGGAGTTTACTGACACAATTTTTTTATAAGTTATGTGAGAATGAGGGAGAATGTTCTGATCGCTGTTCACTCCTGGAAATTTAATAGGAGGTGGTTCTTCTCATCTTCTCATCATTTTATTTGACAAGTGTTATCACATTTGGAGAAAATGAAGAAACAATCTGTGATTTGAGAAACTGATGAAGATCAGGAAAAAGAATGTCCCCTTTAAGAGTGCTCCCTTTGGACTCGAGTCTGAGACTCCCCTCACTTCCAATACACAGCAGCAGCTTTTACTCTGTAAACAGCAGTTAATAAAAGGATGTGTTGTGTGTTTGCAGGAATCCTACAGGCAAGTCATGAAGATGAGGCCAAAAGACCTGTGGAAACGATTGATGATAAAATTTCGTGGGGAGGAGGGCCTTGATTATGGAGGTGTTGCCAGGTAAACAAACAGTGGCTCCTCTGTCCTTTCCCTGCACCCAACCCTGCCAACAGCCCCTGTGCTTTGAATCCTGAACCAGCCTAGCTTCTTTATATTATTCTTATTTATTTTTATTTCTGTAACAGATTAAATGTCAGAAGAACATATGGCTCTAGGTAGTATTGTAAAAGAAAAACTGCATCCAAAAAAAGAACTAATTTATTGAAAATAAAATGCAAATTACACATCATGTCAAACATCTGTCATACGTGAGAGGTTTTGGTATCTATTGAAATTAATATCTTTTTCTTTGGCTAGTGAAGTTTGGGGATCTGAGAATATATACCACTAAATACTTGACTTTATGGCACAATTTTAACCAAAAAAAAAAAAAAAAAAGCTTTATTGCAAACTGTCACTGCTGTTTAAAGCAGAATGTTGCCACCAGCAGTTGGTGTGCAACTTCAGTCTGAGATTATTTTTCCCTTACCAAAAATGACATGCCCAGTTCTCAGACCATTTGCTGATTTGTGAACACATAATTAAAACTTGAACTAAATATATCCATTACCTTAAAGATGGTTTGTATCAAATCTTTGATTCCAGCATCTTTATATTCAAGTGAATATATAATGTCTTAGTGTGTAATGGATGTAGGAGAATCACAGTCAGAAACTCTTTTGGAAATGAGTAACCTGAAGGAAAATCTTGGAAAGCTGGAAATCCATCAGCTGTCAGATGTTGTGTGGTTACTGAGCTAGCAAAAGTAATTCTGATTTCATGCATATCTCAGCATGTTCAGAGTTAATTTCCTTCACATTTATGTTCAATAGTAAGATTTTAAAAAATCAGACTATTTTGAAACAATTCTCAGTGTAAGAATGCATTTGTCTGTAGAGTACCAATAAATAATTTTACTTTCTAGGGAGTGGCTGTACCTGTTGTCCCACGAAATGTTGAATCCATACTATGGGCTCTTCCAGTATTCCCGAGATGATATTTACACCCTGCAAATCAACCCCGACTCCGCCGTCAACCCGGTAGGGCTGGGGCCATGGGCTGGAAATCAGTGTTTTCTGACCAGAAATCAAACACACACCTGGAGAGTGTATTTGATTAGTTTGCCTCCACTTAGGAGCAAAATCCTTACAATTGGTACTGCTGGACACTGAATTTGTACAATTATATCATAGTTTCTTTTTTGCATGGATCAAAGAAACTTCTCATTTTCTGTCAGATATCAAGTTATGTTTCCTTTGGGAGAAATTTGGTTTGATTGTTACTTTTAAGACTCCTGGATGGGAAGTGAAATGCTCAGTGTGCCATGCATGAAAACAAAACAAAACCTCTACACAGGGTTTGGGCTTGGGGTTTTCTTCTTTTCTGAGTGTTGAAACTTTACCTCATGCTCAGCAGTGGGGGTCTTACATGGCAGAATGGCCTTAGCAGATTTGTCTCTAAGAATGCTTAGCAGAATTGTCTCTGCTCTGTTCCAGGAACACTTGTCCTATTTCCACTTCGTGGGCCGGATCATGGGGATGGCTGTGTTCCATGGGCACTACATTGACGGGGGCTTCACGTTGCCTTTCTACAAGCAGCTGCTTGGGAAGCCAATTACTTTGGATGACATGGAATTGGTTGACCCTGACCTCCATAACAGCTTAGTTTGGATACTGTATGTACTCTGTGGGGTACCTCAGGGTGTTAGAATGCTGTCTCTGTTATGTCCTAAATCCTGGAAATGAGGAGTATTTTGATGATCTCAGATTTAAGAAACATCTTTCACATGATTCAACTTCTTTAAGGCTAAAAATGCTCAAGCTACTTAGATTTTAGGGGGGAGGTGTGTGGAGTTAATTTATTAATTTTACCTATTATTAATAGTAACAGGTTATTAAAATATAACATTGAAACTTTGATAAAGGTTTTTAAATGTAACATAGTAAAACTGTATGTTCACCTTCTGCATCCAAGCAGGACTTTGAAATGCCATTGAAAAATGAAATTGTGCTTCTGTCAGATAGAACATGGTTGTAATATATTTGCAGAATATGTTTTCCCTCAGTCATTTGCTGCTTTCTTTGCACCAGTGAGAACGACATCACCGGGGTCCTGGACCACACATTCTGTGTGGAGCACAACGCCTACGGGGAGATCATTCAGCACGAGCTGAAACCCAATGGCAAAAGCATCCCCGTGACAGAGGAGAACAAAAAGGAATATGTCAGGTACCTCAGTAGCTTTTTCCAGGGCTCTTTTTCTATTTCCTACGGTGAGGAGCAGCCATTACTTGTTGAAGTAATTGTCAGTGCTGTGCTGTTGGGTTTTGGTGCAGGATTGTGCAGTGCTCTGGTGTAATCCTGTCAGTGGGGCTGTGTTTTAGGACTGGGTAAATTGCAGCTTTATTGTATTTGAATACACCCTCCACAAACCCAATTTGCACTTGCTCGCAGACTTTATGTGAACTGGCGGTTTTTACGAGGAATTGAAGCTCAGTTTCTGGCGCTGCAGAAGGGATTTAATGAAGTAATCCCACAACATCTGCTGAAGACATTTGATGAGAAGGAGTTAGAGGTCAGTGCACCAGTGTTGTGTTGTGTCGTCAAGTGTAACGAGGCTCTCGGAGCCGCAGGAACGCGGGGCTGTCCCGGCAGTCCTGGTCTGCTCTGACCTGGGATAAGGGGCAGCTCAGGGACCATGGCTGTGTGTGCCTCCCGTGAGAGCTGTGGGAGTGTTCCTCGAGGTGACAGCTCACAGCAACTGCACAAGTGGTTGCAGCCCCTCCCTTGTAGCTCAAACTCCTCGGAGCCTTCTGAGGACCTGCAGTGACCTCGGGCTGTGTCACTGCTCCAGCAGAGTCCTGGTGCAGAGTTCTCACGGGACAATTTCCTCATGTGGAATTCAATGCTGCCAGAACAGGCTGTCACTCCCTCCCAGCCCTTAGTGCACTGCCCTGAATGGTGTCAGGCACCTGGGGTTTGGCAGAGCTCAGTTTTGCTGGACTCCATTGGCCCTGTAAATCCAGCAGAAGGAAAGGTGCTGTCACAAGCAAGTGTGCTACAGAATGTCAGGATCAGCATCCAAACGACATCCTCTGAAGGCAAATCCACAGATCCCAAGCTTGCTTTAAATTGAAATGTAATTGCAGTCTGTAAAGTTGAGGGATTTGCCGTGTAAAATGGCTGCAGGTAAATTATCCACGTGTGCTTCTGATCCCTGGGCTGGAACGTGGTGATTGCTCCTCCTTTATCGCAAATATTCTCACTCCCAGCAGTGAGCCAGCCATGCTGCTAACCCTGAACCATTTTGCAGCTCTAGAATAAGAAAGGGGAAGGTCCAGTGTTTTTAATCATAAAAATGTCTTCAGAATTATGATCATATCCTCACTGAGCTTAACCTGATCAATTGTGGATCTCCCTTCAGGAGCACTGAAAGCTCAGTGTCAGGAAAGGCTGCTCTGTATTTTGTGTGGTATCACAGGAACGAGATTCCTTTTAGGGATCCAGAGCTGGACCAGGGAAACTGCACCCAGGGCCATGCTCCTGAAAGAAATACTGAGGTCAAATGTGAATTATTCCTGCAGTGTCATACAAGGGTAGAATCTGTGCTTCTGTTTAACTGACAGGTCAAGGCCCTTTTGTCTCAGCCTGAATTGGTTGTTTGGGTTCTTTTTAATTTAAAATGAGACCATTTGAAAAATGGTTTGTGTATAGAGGTAAAATTAAAAAAACAAGGAAGATATATTTCTGCATTGCTGAAGACGAGGGAGAACTTATAATTTGCCATTGGTATAAAATCTGTCAGTTTTTCATATCATTTCTTCATAATTTGGTTCCAACCCCATTTTTACAGTGATCAGTGATGAAAAATATAATAAATCTATTCTAAATTCACAGCTCATCATTTGTGGACTGGGAAAAATCGATGTTAACGACTGGAAGGCAAATACCAGGTTAAAACACTGTACCCCAGACAGCAACATCGTGAAATGGTTCTGGAAAGCCGTGGAGCTGTTCGACGAGGAGAGGAGGGCGAGGCTGCTGCAGTTCGTGACCGGCTCCTCCCGGGTGCCTCTGCAGGGCTTCAAGGCGCTGCAAGGTACCGCCCTGTGCCCGGGAGCTCGGCCCTGTGACTCCCAAAGAGCCATTTTAATGGGCTGATGGCAATCACCAGCAGTCCTTTCTTGTGTGTTTGTCTCGTACCTTCTCATGCAGGTGCAAATGGCTTTTTGATTTCATTTCTTCACTTCCTTCTCTGGCAGGAGGTTCTGATCAACTCAGATCTTAGAGGGGCTCCAGAAGCCAGAGTTTTAATTCCTAACTTTTACAAGCCTTCATCAGTTGCACAGCTCTGGGGGTTCTTTTAGACTGAAATACAGTAACACAAGTCAAGCTCCCCATGAGAAACCTGACCCTCTGAATTGTATTTTTAATGACTGCTCAACCCAGGATTCCAGTTTTGCTCAGGTTAGGACATTTATAGCTTCTTCTGTCCTTTGTGGCATCTTCAGTGCACACCAAGTATAAACAATGGCTGTGCTGCACTCTTTTTTCTTTAGCAGAGACATTAAGGGGATTTCTAGTAGTCAGATGAATTTAATAAGGAATTGCCATTGTGACACTGTGGGATTTCAGTGGAATTGGCCACGGTTCAAGATGTGTTACAAAACAGGGACAGGTACAGCTGTGTAAGTTTTGTTCTATAGGAGGGGTGAAAGAAGAGAAATTAAAAACTGTTTGAATTATGCAGTAGACTGTGTGAAAAAGGTGATTTATTCTTCCTTATCAGTGTTTTCCTTTCCTTTAAATAACTGCAGGGCTGTCTGCGTGGACAAGGAGGGCTCTGTCCCACAGCTACTGGGACTTTGCAGTTTTTTCCTGCCTCTTTATGATTTCATCTTTCTTGGTGCAGAGTTTCTCTTTGTATTTTAGTTGCTCTCTTGTTCTTGCAGTGCAATGAAGACATTTCATGTTATTCCACACAGTAATAGAGATCTCTTCTGGATTTTCAGGTGCTGCAGGCCCACGACTCTTCACAATACACCAGATTGATGCCAGCACTAATAATTTGCCGAAAGCTCATACCTGGTAAGACTTTTTCAGTTCTCTGTTGTGATCTGTAGCTTAAAGACCAATCTGCTGTCAGAGTATTTGGAGCAGTCTCCCTTGTTTTGTCTTTCATGACATAATGAAAGCTGTCCCTCGGGGAGCAGCAGAGGTGTGCAGCCTGGAGATGGCTTTTGTTTCATGGAGCTGGGTGGCTCCTTAAGCCCTGCTGGCAGCACCTGCAGCTCAGTGAGGGGTGACAGAGCTGGCAGTGGTGGTGCAGAGCTGAAACCTCTCTGCTTCCCCCCAGCTTCAACAGGATCGACATTCCCGCCTACGAGAGCTACGAGAAGCTCTACGAGAAGCTGCTCACGGCCATCGAGGAGACCTGTGGCTTTGCTGTGGAATGACCCTCCCAGCCTCTCCCAGACTCTATTTATACTCCTGTCAGCCAGAAAGCCCTTCCTTCCCTCAGCCAAGACTCAAGAAATGCTTGAAATACAGGAAACTTTCCCTTTTCTACACTAGGACATTGGGAGGGAAAGGACAACTTTTGGATTTTTTTTAAAATTTTTTTTAATTTTTTATTTCAAGAAAATAGGTTCTGTGGTTCCTGCCATAGGATCATTCAGCTGCTATTAAAAACTAATATCTTGAACATACAGAATGCTGACTTTTCCTACATTTCAACAGTTAAGCAGTATTCTATACTTAAAGACTACTACTATTTTTGTAAGAGGTAATCTATTATATTTGCCTACCTGATTTCTATTCTCAGATACCAAGACACAACTTCAGCAGTCGGTACAAGTCACGTTTCAGCCTGTTTTAAATGTATGATACTGAACAGCATCTATACCTGCTATTTTTGGAAAAAAGTATTTTGGATTATTCTAACTTTGCATAAAATTGGCTGAAAGAATCATTAATCTTTTTAATGAAAGCCACTTACATGTTAACTGCATTTTCTTATAGTAAACCATTATATTCTGCAATGTAAATTCCAGGTAAATGTTACCACAGGGGCTTTTAAAAATATTTTTCAAGCAGGAATTCCAAATATGACATTTTGGGGTCCTATTTATATCACTTGTCAGATTCCTCCAGCAGAATTTCTAGTGAGTGACACAGACTATTTGGTACAGTCCTTGTGTTTACACGTGGAATAACCTTTTCTTAATGAACAGTAGATGTTTTTATTTTTTTTTTTAAACAGCATTTTTCTAACAATTCTGTCAAGAGTACTTTTTGTTGCTTTTGACCTTAAATTGAAACACTGCATTTTTCAGCTGTTGAAGCACTGATGGGCTTTGCCAGCAGAAGCCTGTCAGCAGTTTGTTCCAGAATCCATCCTGTCCAGTCAACCAAAGTTTGTTTGAATGCAGCCAAATCATATTCTATATTTGTTGATGCTAAAGATTTATCAGGTAAAACATGTTGTAATCTCTGTCCAGCTGCTTATGACACGTGGGTTTAAGTTACAGCTAAGGAAAAATGGTGTATTGACTGAAATATGTGTAATGTGCTTTGGAAATGAGGTTGTAAGAGCACATAATTTATTGATTGTAGGGATGGAAGTAAGTATATATATGATTTATAGCATGGGTTGATCTCTTCAAAGGGGAGAAAAATGCACTACCAGTAGAGGGAACTGAACTTTGATGTTAGTTTGGAAATTCTCATTTGAGATCTGTCTGATCTCCTCGTGGCATGTGGATAAATCAGGCTGCTTCAGACAGTGCCATTCTCCTCTCAGCCATGAGAATATTTGGAATAAGTAGCAGTTTTTTTCCAATCAGTGTTGTGTTTTTGTAACTTAGGTTACAATTAATCATCAAATCTGCACTATTTTTTCACTGCCAATGAGAAGAAAGTCAAAGGTATTGAAAATGCTAAAGGGATGGGATGTAACCAGCTGTTCCATGTTTGCAGTGTAAGTCAGTGAACCAGCTCATCTGCTGTCTGTTCTGTGGCACTTAAACTAAATTTTGCTCTGCCAAGTCTGACTGCCACAGTGACTAAACTACTATTGGATGTTTTGTGTTGAATAGTGGGCAAGGGACTACTTTTACAGAATTGTGGTGAGAATCTGGTGAGCCAAAGCCACATGCTGGTTTGATTATTTCTTTTGTACAGCTGTTGCTGGCAGGTTTGTTCCAAGGGACTTGCTTCCCTTTCTGAGCTGGCTGCAGGATGAGGCTACTTAGGGATGTAAACAGAAAGCCAAGAGACTTGCTGTGACAGCCAGGTTTGAAATACAGCAGAGCCTTTTCTTTTCATTTCAGTGGACTCTTGCACTCCTGTTGAAGGGCTGCTCCTTCTGCATCCATGCTGGGCTCCCCATTCAGGGCTTTCAGGTACCCGTGGTAGCAGGGAAGCTGCCCCTGTGCCTGTGCAGGGCTGGGGGAGCACAGCAGGTTCTTGCCCAGAGTTTGTCACTCCAAATGCTGCCCGTGGCTCCAGCCCTGCCCAAAGCCTGTGCTCAGCCCCTGCCAGGTCTGAGCATGTCAGTGACCATTGAAGGGCTTTTACAGACAGGTTCTTGGGACTGTTCACAGGAGAGGATTCAGTGTCACAGCACTGACAGAAGTGATTTTTTTAAGGGTTTGTTTATTTTTATTTATCCCCCCTGTGCTTGCCCAGCCTGTGACCACAGAACATGGCAAATATAAAATCTGGCTGGTGGATTTATTGAATGCATAGTTATGGTCACCTTGCTGTCACCAAGGCACCTTTGTGGAGGGAGGAGATGAGCTCTGCAGAATAGAGACCTGAGATCAGCTGATAATTACATTCATTTTCACAGCAGCCTTAGCAGTACATCTGTTTTTCTACTAAGCATTTTGGTATGGCATTGAGAATTTTTTTAACTGCTACAGATATTGTAAATTTAATATATTACAGGCAAAACTAGACAAGTCTGCATTGAACTTTCCATAGCTGACAGATGAGGATGAATATACCAAGTATTTTGAGTGCCTTTCTACCTTCATAAAGACTGAGAGCTTTAACTAAAGCACCTCATCACCTAGTCAGATTTTTATCTGAAAGTGGTAAAGGGTTGATTCCTTTCCAAAACTTTTGTTTCAAGAACATGTCAGCTACTTTCCCCTCAAAAAGGTGCTAAGCCTAATATTGCATTTTAACCTTGGACTTTCACCCCATGATTAATGTGAATATTTATTTCAATGTGTCCCTCTTACTGGATTTTACTTTATCCAGTCTTTAGTTGTTTTAGAGAGATGTCACATCATGGTTTTATGCTGTTGCTTTTCATTATGAATGTTTAATTATGAACAGTGACTTTTGTAGATTTCAAATATACAGTTCACAGTTGAGTTTCAGAGGATTTAATTTCTCGGTGTAAAGAGTTTTGTAACGGTGCTTTGTACAGTATGTATTCTAACTTTTTTTTTTTTTTTTGCACATAGGTTCAGTTTCCCTAAACTGATTTATTTGTACCAAATTTTTGTGTTGTACTAAAGTCCAGAGCACACAAGCTATTTTGAAATTCCTGATCCACAACACTACATGTGTACTGAACTCCTGGTGCGTTTAAAAGGCTGCATTGATGGAAGTTCAAGCTTTGCTCCTCTGTCACAGCACCATCCTCCAGCTCGATGTAGCATCTTTTTAAACAGCACCACACAGTTAACAGGTGCCATTTGTTGTACTTTACACTATGTAGTAGGTTCCTGGCTCTACACATCCTCAGAGCTTTGTCTGTAGTTGTAATTAGTTTATACAAGTGTAATTACTTCTCCACAAACTGACAGTTCTTAGTTTATCATTTTCATTGTATTTATTACAGAGTGTTTTAGCATTGGTATCATTGTATTTTCACCCAGCTGTTACATGAGCTTTAACAAAAAAAATCTGTATAAAATGGTTTTTAAGTACTTAATGTATGTACCCATGCAGAAGTTGAGCAATAAATTGTATGCTGTTTGCACTGTCACAGCATCAATGGTTTTAAAAGTTTTTAAGTTTTTCTTAATTAAATCTGTAAAATGTAACAATGTCCTTTTTAAGTAACTCGACTTTATTTCAGGAGAAAATACTTGAAACTTGGTGACTTCCTACATGCTGTTACCTACAGTGAAGAGTGTGCTGAACGCTCTAGTCAAACACAGCAGGTCTTAGTTCTGGCCCTCAGGTACTGGCATGGCTTGGCAAGGACTTTACCTCAGCACTGGTGAACAGATGTCTCCTCAAAACTCAGCAAAGCTACACCATCTTCCTGGAGGGAAAAAAAGGCAAATTTGGTAAAGACTTGCTAAAATTCATCAACTTAGGTGATAAATACTGTCCCTTAAAGGCTTAAAGTTATCCAGGCTTACAGCAACTCCCTGTAAAGGTTTGGATAGGTCAGGGTTTTGTGTTTCTGGTTTTGTGGAGAGGTTTGGTGTGTTTTTTAGATGTGTATTTTTGCAGTGAGGTGTCTCATGCTATAGCAGGTGGCTCGTTTAATTTGTAAAAGAAGCTCCTTCAGATGTTGGGGGCTTTTTTTCCTGTTTAGCTCTTTTTTCAGTGAATGAGTGTGAATTCTGTGTGTTGTCAGTTCCATCAGAGACACCCCCTCATGGCAACCATTAAATATTGTATGTAAAGTGCAGTTAAATCCAGCGTTCCTGTATCACTTCTCTCACAGCAATTTTAAGCAAGAACTATTCTACTACCAAGGTAAACTAATTAAGAGTTGCACTTTTATCAGACAGTCTGTATGAGCAATTGGCTTCATTAGTATCAGCTTGGTTTTATGTAACTGTTCTTGCTTCAAGTCCTCATCCCTCTGTGTTGGCACCTCCACAGTGTTTGGCTGGTGAAACCTGGATTTCCTGCTGGGCACTGCACTTTTTATAGCACTGGAAGATGCTAAAATAGGTGCAGTGCCTGCTGTCAGCTCCTGCTCTGCCTGGAAGCAGACCTTACAACCTGAAGTAAGGTAAAAGCTGACTGGTGAAATACTTAATCATTCTTTAATTCTGGTTCTGAAGATGGAGTAATCAGGCTGCACCTGTGAGTGTGGCCCTGTGCAGGATTAGGAATGCTGTCTACAGTTCCTTCACAGGGTTCACCTCTTGCAGAAGCTAATCATGTACAGCTTTAGAAGAATCTGCATTGTTTTATATTTCAAATTACTTTTCCCGGTGCATTTGTAGCATAGAAAGTATTTTATATGCCCTTGTATTTTATCAGGCCAGCAACATTAACATTGCAAATACAACTGAAGCAGGAGTGGAAGAATAGTCTTCCCTTGCTTAATGTATTTAAATATTTAAATTCCCAGTTACTTATGTCAGGTTTATTGCAGGCATTCTCTAACTTGGCCTTTCACAGGAAACCTGAACCTCTGATGTTCTTTTAAAGATCTTCTTGTGCTTTGTGAGCTTTCCAATCCATGATTTCTGGCTAATGGTGTTAGATTGGCTTAGCAGCAACAGCCCCAGCACAGATGCAGAGAAGCCTCAGCTTCCAACTGTTCCACCAGGAAAACTTCACTAAAGCACTCTGACTTCATCCCAGCTTCCTCTGGGTAGAGCCCAACACTACCCTAACATTGCTAAGAAGGCAAAAAGTACTTCAGAAACTTTATTGGTGATCATAAAAGCACTGCGGAGATCCCAGATCCCAGCAGCTCCACTCCTGACAGGTCAAAATGACAAAACAGATATTCTGGAGAAAAAAAACAGCCTCACACCATCTTCCCATTATAGCAGCTCTCAAAGACTCTGATCATCTTAGCCAGGGAGGACTGCAGTGACATTTACCCAAGTCTTAGAAGAAGTGGCTTTGGCTGTACTGGAAGGAAGCAATCTGAAGTCTGGATCTCAGTCTGTCTGCTTCTAGTTCTTGAAAAAATGTGTCATCATCATTGTGCATGATTGCTGCTTGCAGTTGCTGTATTTCCTTTTCCATCTTTGATCGCACTTCACTTTTTGATTTTTGTAGCATCTAAAGAAAATACTGACATTAGCCACAGCATGTAAAAAGAAAAGGCAACTGGAAAAAATTAAGAGTACTTACTTGTGCTTGTGCTTTCTCTCTGGTTTGGATTTCTTGGAATTCTTGAGATATAGCTTCTGCTAGCATGGAAAACTAAACATAATGTGTGTGAGTTGAACTAATTCAAGAAAGACTTCTAAGTGGAAAAATATGATCTTTCTGATCGAGATGAAGCCTTACCTGATCTTTGTAATAGTTCTCCAGAGACTCCAGCGCAATCTGGTGCTCTCTCCGTTGCTCATCACGCTTCTCCCGAGCATAAGCTCTCAGGTCCCTCAGTCTTTGCTTCTGAATTTCTAAGCCTTCTTCAAATAAGTTTTTAAATATCTGCCAGCAATTAAAAAAAGCAAACCTGAAACTTTCCCAGGAACCTGTATTATACATTTACATTTCTCAGCTGCTTTAGCTCCTGATGGAATGGTGTTTACATGAGGATAGGCCATAGCTCATGAAAAACCACTATTATGTACCTAGAAATGGTGGTGCAGATACAGCTGAACTGGATTTGTATTACTCATTTAGCTGAAATTTTGATAGATAAAATAATTTTTCATGTCAGTTTAGTCAGATGACCCAACTGTGCAAGCCAGGGCCTTTGAACATGCACTGTGATTTACAATCCACCCTGTACTCTGCAGTCTGACTTCAGGACCTTCATCCAGGTTTCCAGCAGCAGGAAATCCAGCTTGGACTCAGGCTTTCCATTCCTCCACAAGAACACTTACCAGCTGTAGCTCACAGCTTGAGGCAAACAGTTCTCAAATCCCTACCAGTGGATTATGCAGTAAACTTCTAATCTTTTATTTTGAAAGGTGCCAACTCTGTATTTGCTCTTGCAGAGTGTAATAACTCTACTTGCTTTCCCTCATTCTGATGTCCAACCCTAATTAGATCATATCTGTCACTAATTCCACTTTGTTTAACAAATACAACTGAATAACATGGCTGCCTGTTTGATCAGTTCCCTTAACTGAAGTTTTAGATTGTTTTCTTTGGATGGTGACTGTAGGAACAACTTCTTAATCCTACTGTTTCTGAAAACTCATTTCCCCAATTTCTCATGTTACTAGCCCTGTTTTTCCACACTGATACTTCACCCTTTCTCTCCTCTTAGCCCCATAAATCATCTTTTCTTGTTTCACAGTGGTTTGCCCTGCACTGGATCCACATTTCCAGAGAAGGAACCATTTCATCTGTGGCCCTGACTTATCAGCTGCTTCATCCTGGCTGTGCTCTGGTCATTGCACGTGCAGCACTGAACTTCCCGACCTGAGCCCTGGGAAGAACCCCAGCCCAGCAGGGCCATGCCCCTCGTGCTCACCCTCTCCTCGCGCGTCCTCGCCCGCAGCAGCTTGGCCCGGAGCTGGACCCTGTAATCCTCGTAGTATTTCCTGGCCCGGGCCATCTGCTGCCGCTTCTCCGTCACTTTGTTCTGAGCCCACTTCTGCCGGTGGATGCGCTGCTTGATTTCTTGCTAAAGGGAGAGCAGCAGCTGTCAGACCACCAAACTGCCAAGAGATACCCCTGCAGATAAAGCTTTGTTAATCACTGCTAATTAGGGTCCTTTACTAAGGACCTTCTCCGTAACCCAGTTTTGCAGTTAAGGTTTAAAGCGTTAATCACCACTGAGGTAGCAAAGTCGTGTCACTGTCACAGGAGCTGAGACACAATCTCAGATTTCTCCTTGCACTTTTTTAGAATTTGTTTTACCTTTTAGAGCAACAGTGCAGTGTTATAATAATATTCCATTCCCATGACCCCAGTAGCCACACAACAAACAGATCATGTGGCATTTTGAGACCACAGCTACTCAAAAAGTGTGAAGTTGTCATAAGATTAAAAGCAACTTTCATGATGTGCATTTTAGATAGCTCCATATGAAATCTCTGCATTATGTAACAAATAGTCTTCAAAGAACATACCAGTCTCTTGCTGTGATCTTGATCTTTCTTAATAATTGCAGAAAGCAGCTCATGTTTCTTCAAGGCTTGTTCAACCTGGAGGTTTAAAAAAAAGCTAATTACTTGCATCATGCTGCAGGACAAGCTGTCCTATGTAGCAGATTTAAATATTGCCTCTCTGCTATTTTTTGGGGTCTGGGTTGTGAGTTGCCTTGTATAAGTTAATCAACTTTTGCATCTTGTTACTCACTTCTAAACTAAAAGACTGTACAGAACTAGCAGTGGAAACTACAAAACACTTTTAAAAAAGCAATAGCAACCCTAGGCAGTACTCAAGAAACCAGTCTCAAAGGACCATAATACTTGAGTGGCTGATGAAAAGTTGAACTTATGTATTTAAATCTGTACATCCCTATTTAACCAAGCTCCCACAACATCCTTCCACTCTGTGCTGTGGGTGTGCAGGTGCCCTGCCAGGGTATCTCTGCTGACATTCAGCAGGTAAGAATGGAAATACTCACTTCATTTTGGAGGTTTGGTCTAGGTCTGGCAGAGGGTGCCTTGAGGTGTGCAGTTTGTGCAAGCTGCTGATGCCACATTTTATTCAGAGTACGGGGGGAAATGTGCAGGTGGGGAAACTCCTCCAGGAGCTGCAAGAGGAGGTCATTGTCTCTTATTGTCACTGTAAGATAAAGAGGTAAGCAATAAATTCCTGGAGAATACATTTAGTTGTAAATTCATCCAGACAGTATCAGCATAAGTCAAGAAATATTTTACATTGAACACTGTATAAAATCACCATGCTGCTGTTACCATATCAAGCTAAGCCCAGCAGGACATACCATCCTGCCAGTACAACAGCAGAGAAAGCAGTCCCAGTCTTTTGTTGTTTTCTCTGAAGAACTCATTTTATAGCTCAGATGTCATTTCCCTACCCCCACCACATCCAACTAAGGCAGCAATCCCCTTCTTTCTTCACATGGTTATGGCCATCACTAATCAGTGATTGCTTTCGCTCTCTCTCTGGTTGCAGCAACTTAAAATAAAGCCAGCACAGCCATGGCAATGACAGATCCAGGTCAAGTAAACAGGTGCAAAATAAACTGGTTTACAACCAGCTCATTCCCATTACATCTTTGATCTTTCTGGCAGGAAAAGATGATGGGGAGATGAAACAAAAGGATATTTACCAAGTATATGGCCTTCAAAAACTGGAAAAAAATAAGGCAGTGTAGCTGAGCAACATCCAGATATGTAGGAGATTATCTGGTGATAGGATAGCACAGATAGGCATGCACAGTGCTAGTTACCAACACTAGACCTAGGATTTGCAGCTTGGCTTTCTTGGAGCATCACTTGCTCAGCAGAATCAGTGGCAGCATTAACACCACAGTGGCAGGAGCCTGACAGATCCTGCTCAGTGACCTGTACATGGCTCAGCTCTAGCCACAGGCCCAATTTAAAATCTGATACATGCTCAGAAAAATAACAGGAGAGCTCAGACTGTAGTGGAATAAGCACAGGAGTAGCAGCAATGGAAAAAAGCCCTGAAAATAATCCAAGGGATTTTAAGGAAGCAGCAAATGGGTCACAATTTGATTGTGCACTGATGGTTTACATTTACTTAAAGCATTATCTTCCCTAACAAAAATCCAGACATATAGAGGTCAGAAGAAGGGAAAATGCTACAGCTGACTGGTATATGTTGGACTGGAGCCTTTATTCTTGGAGTTCAACACATGCTTTCAAAAGATGCCAGTTTTCCACCAAGTATAGTTTTGCAGTTCTTACTTGGAGCTGCTTGCTTTGGCTTCACGATCCCTCGTTTTGGAATCCACTGGCTGTATTTGGGATACTGAGGTGTGGTTTTTCTAGAATAAACTTTCGCTCGCTGAGACACTTTTGGAGGTTCTTGAAAGACATTTTCTTTGTACTCTTGTTCCTTAGGAGCAGATGTAAAACAGATGGAGAACAGGTATGAGAAGGGAAACACTGACAGAACACAGTTTGGCCATCAGAACTTAAATATCTTTCAGACTTTAGAATGAGAACTTGGACATACTGCATTGGATTCTCCAGAAGGCCACAATTTACAAAATGCAGGTCAGGGTTCAAACAAAGGTTAAATCTCATCATTGCATAACCTCAGCTCTTCTGCAGCACTTTACATTAGAAAGTTACTACTTCAGTTGTACAGTGTTGTAACTATGACAGTGGAAGTCAAGGAGGTTTTGTTCCCAAAAGTGTCTGGACAGACCTTCTAGACAAATTTAAAAAGAAAAAATCAACCAAACAAAACACAACCAGCAATCCCAACAGTGCATCACCTACCATTTCCTTGGCAGCTTCTCTGAGCTTGGAAATTCTACACTTCTCCCTCGCTTCAAAAATTCTTAGCTCATTTTCATAAGCTTTAGTGACCAGCTGGAAAATAAAAATAAAAGCACTTGTCAGAGGAAATAACCAGTCCATACAGCCACCTTGTTAACTTGGTTGCTGCATGGGCCAAAGTAGCTTCTTCCACTTTTAATTTTTGCAAAATTTGGGCTTTAAATCTCTTCCTCAGCAGGCTACAGAGAAACAGTATATTATTACTAGAGGAGACCAGATGCCCCCATTACATGAAAGATTCTGGTTTGGTGCTTTTAGTATAACTGTTGGTAAGAATTGCCACAAGGTCCAATCTAAAAATTACCTTTGCTTTTCTTGTTCTTTCATTCCTTTCTTCCTGCAGGCGGCTGCGTATTGTCTTTACCTGGCCTATTCCGCTGCCACTTAGTTTATGTTCCTGGTGCTGAGATAAGGGTGAGGCTGGAGAGAGGGATCTTGGCCTGCCCCGGTACCTTGGACGTGATGTGCCTGTAGGGAAAGATCATTCACTGAGTATCAAATTTGAGACAAAAAAACCCAGTGAAGTGTATTGTGAGTAGGCCCTCATTTCAGAACCACATCCTGTGAGCTTGCATTCTATCCGCCCCCCCATTTTCTATGCATTTTTTACTGCAGCTGTGTTTCACTTGTATTTTTTTGCGAAGTTTTACCATGGTTTTTTTAAGTGTTAAACAGAAACTCAGTTGCAATTCTGTTACTGTAGCTCAGGTTTGGATCAAAGAAATGAACTAGCAATCGAAATAGAAAAAAAAAAGAAATTAACTAGCAATACAAAACTTAGTAACTAACTGTAATTCAGTGTAGCAGTTTCTTTTATATTTGTTTCCATCTCAATACTGGCATAAGGATCGCTACCTCTCCCAGCTATCCTTCGGCCATAGTCCATGACACTGTCACTGTGGTGGGACAGGCTGTCCTCATCTGTCAGCTCCTCTTCTCTCGTGTGCTCACCCAAAGCTCTCTTCAGCATCTAAGGGATAGATTTTTGTTTTGGTGGGGTCAGGTTCAATAGACAGTTCTAAAGTTTGAATGATCTAAAGCCAGGTGTTAGTTGCAGATTTACATTTCATGCATATTGCACTGATATTCTTAATTCTCTCCAATGTCATTATTAAACCTGCACTGCTCAGCTCAACAAAGAAGAGACTGCACTTACTAAATCTAGTTCATTTAGCCTGCGAGACAGATTTTCTGATGCTTCATTAAACTCTTCCTCAGGCACTTTTTCCTTTGTTGTTCTGTGGGAAAGTGAATCTTCAGCTGAATCTGTGGTGGAATTCTTGTATTTGCTAAAACAGAAAACAGATTTCATTTCTGTCATAAAAACTCGATGATGAGCATTATCTCACACAATTCCAGTTCACTTCCTCCCTAAGCATGTTTTTATAAGATTAAGTAAAGCAGAATGTGTAAATGCCTATAACCATATTTAACAAAATAAGTATATGTCAGGAAAACCAGGAAATCTTTCTGTTAGAATTATTCTTTCACACAGCCAAGGAAAGAGAGATCTTATTTTAAAAGGGAGGAGGGGGTTGGCTTGCCATGGAAATCAAAGTGCCAGTGCGATTCACTACCAAAAATCTGAACTTGCCTTGTTGTTTGAGGCCATTGCTGAGATTCAGGTCTTGGGGTTTGTGTTACTTGTTCAGCACGTAACGGGAGCTTTTCCTCTAAAGAAGAGGTGGATATAGAAGACTCACATACCAGAGGCACCTAGGAAAATGAGTAAATGAAAGTTTTATAGATCACATGAGTAGAGATGCTGTAACAGAACCATCCCAAACCCTGTGAGTATAGATATATAAAATCAGTTCTATTTCTAGGCTCCTGACTGAAGACAGTGTGCTTTAGAGAGTTAACATTTAAAGAAATGGACAAGCAAAAATATGGAAGATCAGTTCAAAGCTAAACCACGGAACCAGAACAGGGCTATGTTAAGGTAATGAGTATCTCCACATTGCACCTCATCAGCCTGGGACTGATGCCAGGTAGTGGAAATAAACTGAATTTCCCTTAGTACAGACTGAGCTGCAGTTCACAGCAAGCCAAAAGAGAATACTCCTGTCCTTGTGCTATTTAGCTGCACTGGTTTAGTTCTGCCTGGTAAGTTCTCTGTTCAAACTGGAATAGCTTGGGCTTGGCATGGACATCCTGGGAAATGCACCAATGGAAAATGAGTTTCAGAGACAATGTAGAAGTGAAAGCTGTTTAAACTATTGGAACAAGCAAAGTCTGTGAGTACCTCTTGTGGTTGCAGAAGGCAAAATTGTGTTTCCAGAGGAAGAAACCTCCTTTACAGACACATTTCTATGGGCACAGATTGGTAACTGCTGATCAATTTGTGGGTTTTGCATTATTCAGTTTTTCAAAAGCAAAGCACAATGCAGGAAAATAAAAGGAGAGAATATAGCAAGAAGTTTATGGATCTTTAAAAAGTAGTACATCTAAGTTTTATTGGCCAAACCCCCAAAATTCTTACTATTGTAGAATGCTGATACACTTCAGAAAAAGGACATGACTGTACTCCTGTGCTTTGTACATTTTTGATTAAAAACCAAGATAACCAGTAACTGGTTGGTTGTGATAAATAGATCTCTGTGGGTGCTGCCTCTGTACATTTTGGAGCAAACAACTCCAGGAAGAACTGAGAACTGACATGACTCACAGACTGCACATAATCATAGTCTAAGAACACTGCATCACTGATTGTATACTGGTGAAAGAAAGTCTAAAGGAGGTTTGAAATAAGCCCATAATGCCACAAGATAACAGAAATAATTAAGCAGAAATCAAAAAATACTGATTGAAATTCCAAAAATAAAGATACAACATGTACCTTTGTCACATTGTCCTTGGCATCATCTCCCAGCATTTCTCCTATTGCAGAAGCAGATGACAGGTACGTGTGAGTTAATGGCACTGTGCCTACTAATGTGGGCAACAAGAGAAAAAAAGATGCAAGCCAGGGCCTATGGATTCAAATTATTCAGAGACTAGAATGACAAAGCAACTGTGGTTACCCAGTTGTAACATTCATTTTGGTAATTTCTCCAGTCTTCAATGTTCAGTGTCATGGGAATGCTATGGGAACTAAAAAAGGTAAGCAGTGTTTCCAAGGCAACAGAGAAAATGAGTACTGAAAAAAATAGCTTCTAAACCTTTTTTACAATAGCAGTTAATGGCTTGTTCTTAGAATTGAAACCGGCTTGTTTGGTCCATGTCTCTCTGCTCAGAATAAGCTGAGCCATGGGATTTATCTGCTGGAAGAGGTTTCTATAGTATAGACCCATCTTAACAGGATTAACTAAGAAAGGAGTTGAATCGGGGACATGGATTACTTTTTTCCAGTAGAGGAAAAAGATTAAAAGTAACCTATTTTTGTTTCTCTATAAAGCAGAGATAGAAATATGAACTTGTGGCTGAATTTAAAAAAATGCACTAGTAGATTCAAAACAGTGTTTCTTGTGGTGCCAGTACAAATGAATGCAAAATTGTAACACTTAGGAGTTACCCTAGAGGATGCGAAATTTTCTCTCACCAGGGATCTTTCTGGATAGAGGAAGACCATCAGAAACACCATGAAATTTTTGGGTAAGTGACTTTTCAATCTGAAATAAAAAGCAAGACATATTCTATAAATTCACTGAAGAGTGCTTAAAGGAAGGTCATACATTAAGTCTGTCTGCAAATGGAAATCAATGCTGATTCTATAGATAGATAAAAGTCTCTGTAATTATTTTGTTTACTATACCGTAAACTCTGGCATTGACTGTGGAGATGTGTATGTATATATGTATAACATAAACACACCCCTTGAACTAAATTCCTCTCTGGACACTTAGTGAAGAATGAATCCACAATCCAAAATTCCTGGAACTGAAATAAACTCTGACACATTCAAAAGTGTTCTTCAGGGACCATCTACTCCCATTCTGCAAGTAAACTAGGAGGTTTTCAAATGAAAGCAGTATTGGTTACTAAAAGAAAATGAAATAATCAAGGGATAGATTTTTCCTTACAGTAGGAATGTTCACTGCTTGACTGCAAGCCAGAGCTGCTGCCTGTCTGTCTGAGCTGTGGTAATCTCTCCATGCTGGATCTGAGGGCTGGAACGGGGGCAGCAGAGGAATTGCCTGCTGGATAGGCTCCCCCAGCTTTGTAGCACTGACACTCAAACTCCCTTTGTGAGGTTCAGCAGCACCAACAGACTCCATCCCTCCTGAAGAGGCAAATACAAAGAACTTGAAGTGTTATCTGGTAAAGCAGAACAAATTTTGTGCATTGTGTGTACATAATAAAGGGAAGTGTCTCGATAGCTAATGTGAGCTGCCACCTTTGTTGGATTGCATAGGACAGTGCTGTAATGTTTTTTAGCCTTGAGAACATGATTTTGGATGTTAAGATCTTCCACAAGGACTTTTTAGTGTTTTGAACCACAAAAGAAAAGAATACAAACCACAATACAAATTAAAAACAGCCTAGCTGAAGCCAAATCCTAGCTAAGCAGAAATATCCCAGATAATGAAAGTTTGCCTACTCTGAGAGACTAAAATATCACTTGTCTGAAAATAATTTATTTTAAAACATGACTAAAGTGTTTCCATTCATGACTAAAGCTCTCCTCCACACTACCCTAGTTCCCTATGCCTCTAAATCAAAATCAGGTGGATGAGCTGTCAGAAGAATCAATACTCACCCTCTTCCCTTTCATTTGCAGTCCCCCTTTCACTTTCTGAGAACTGTCTGGGCAATGCTGCAAGAGCCTCTGTGCTTGCAGAGTCTTCTACTCCCGTGTCCTTTTCTGCTAGACAAAGTACAGGCATCTGAAATTCTAGAAGTGGATGCTTAAAAAAATTAAGATCTATAAAGCATCTGGCTATGAACTGTTTTGATGGATAATTTTAATGTCTGCTCATTGCTTGGTGTCAGCAATCCATACTAAGCTCAAAATAGGTCTGTTAAATTCTTATTTGTAACTCCAGTCAATGAAATGTTCATAATTCATAATATTTCTTTATGTGTCTACTTGAGGAGATGAATCATCAATAAGAATAGAAAGAATTGGAATAATCTTATAAAAAATATGAAATAAGAATGAGCTCTATTTAAGTCATCTGCACACTACTCCTTTCAGAGCCATCCATGAAGTTTTGAAGGGGTACACACTCCTAAGAAGTCTTTAAGAATGAACTTAATTTTTTTGCAGTCTTAAATAATACATGTTAGACTGCAACAAATGAAACTAAGCCTTCAGAATTCTCCTGTTCTATTGAACAAGAAAAAATGCCTTTGTAAAAATGAATTAGAACCCAAACAATAAACCTTTATCCAAATAAGGTAGTGCAGGAGTCATGAAAAATAACACCTGGAATATTTACTTCCAGAAATTTTAACTTCAGCAAGATATATTTCCTTATTGTGGGTTGTCTAGGCTTTTTTTTTTTTTTTTTAATCAAGTATTTAAAACAGTATTTATCTGAAAGAAGTAACTTTTTAAAAGGAAACAAACAAACAAACAAAAAGTCTAGAAATCTTACTAGAGAAGAGTTTTAATTTTTTTTCTCATCCAAACTCACCTTCCCCTCTCTTGGAAAATGAATAAGCAGTATCGCCAAGTTTAATTAATTCACTGGTAGATCCTGAGCCATCTGTATCACAAGTTAAAATAAAATATTCTGACGGGGACCTAAGGGGGAACATAAAGCCATCAAATATTTCCTCTCTCAGCCTCTGCCCATGCAGCCCACGAGATGGAGCTGCCGAGGAGCCATGCAAAACACGGCCCTGCTGCCACAGAGCAAACCAGAGCACGAGTCACAACCAAAAATTGAGCTCAGCCTAAAACCTGAGCAGAGTCACAACCACAAACTGAGCTCAGCCTAAAACCAGAGCAGAGTCACAACCACAAACTGAACTCAGCTGAACTAATCAATTTTTAAACTACAGCCTTAAAAACTGATCAAAATTTTCAAGTTGTTTCATTCCGCATAAAAAGTAAACTTAAGGGAAACAAAATCACCAACCCCTCAAGGGCAAAAGAAGTCCCAGACGTAATTTTAGCCCAGCCAGAGGAGTCACGTCACATTCCTTTTGGAATATGTAATCAGTAGGTGTCTATACCATAAAAAACCTACTAATTTCTCTACAGATACACAGTCAATCACTGTGTGAAAGCAAATACTCAGAATTGTTCTCACCTTTCAGCTGATGAGAGCAGTGTACGTTCTGTAAGTTGATCAGCAGTGCTTTCCAGCTGCTCTTGAGATGCAATTTGAATTTCATCACTAGACAGCACATTTATCTCAGCTGATAACAACCAAGAAGTAATTATTTTCATGAAAACTACTTAGACCTATAAACTAACAGTTACTACTTCTAATATAATCAAAACAGTTTATATGTAATATCAACATTGTAATTTTTTATATAAAATGATGACATGCAATGTTCCCTATGACAGGGGCAAGTAGAAGAGGCGAGGCAACTTCTTTGAAAAATTATACCACTGCCATATATCTCCATGTTCCAGTTATTAATAAACATTTCTTCTTCCTGAAAAGGATTGAACTGTGGACTTAGAGCTAGAAAATGCGAGCCACTAACCCCCACTGGTAACAAAACTGGCAGCCTGAGGGAAGGGAACAGCAGTGAACATTCCTACTGGCCTCTTTCTTCTGTCCACTCTGGAGCAGGTCAGGAGGCAACTCAGGCACCAAATGCTCCCTCTCCCCTTACTCACAGAGTGAACAGCCAGTGGTGACAGCTCTTATCAGCTCTGAGATAGGAATACCTGCAGTAAGACACCTCTGCAGGGCTCAGCAGCTTCTCCTCCCATTTTACTCAAAATAACCCTGCTATGGACCTACTCCCAAGACCCTCCTCCCAGGAAAGGCTGCTGTTTCTTTTCTCTCCTAGTAACTAAAAAGGACATTTGCTCATTGTTCCAATAAAAGCCAACATTTTCCTCCTTGAATCCTAATCCTAAATCATCTACTTTTAGCTTGAAAAGCAACTAACAAAGCATGAATTGTCTAGACTAGGTTTCTGCCACAAGAATGAAGCAGAAAGGTTATGTAAGTTTTGGGGAAAATTTTATATTTAAATATTGTTTATGAAAATAAGGAATGTAAATATTCAGCTTTATCCCTGAAATTTCCTCCCCTGGAGTCAGTTTTGTCTTTCTCTTCTCTCCATTGTCAAGGTTACAAGTAACAAAAAAACCCAAATAAATCTTTGCTACATTGGAAACACTTCGGGTTTATATCTCACCTCCAGTCTGAGAAGATGTTTCACTGACTTCTCTAAGATATTCTAACAAACCATCAAATATTTCGAGGAGGTTTTTGATAGATTCCCTGTCTCCTTTCACAATGTTCTCACCTTGAGAGAAAGTAATGACACATATTAATAATTAGTACTTCACAGAAGAAAAATTCTCAAAAGCAGGCATTTTCTGTAGAAGAGTGCTTGGAAATTCTTGTAAAGGTGTCAGCTCAGAAGACACCTGGTCACTTATTTATGACTGTATAGATAAGCTTAAAGTATATTTCACGTGTTCTAAATTTGCATCTTTCCAGTTCCCATAAGTGAAAGTTTATAGATGCAGTAACTGCATAAATAGTCTGGGATGTTTTCAGGGACAATTGGTATTTAATATTTTTCTTATACATAAAACTATAGCATGAAGCAATCTATGGTATGGCAGCAGGATTGCAAACACCAGCCATGGTGTACAGGCACCAAGTCAGATACTTCTCATCAAGCAGTTTTCATTCTTTTGCAGGTTATGATGTGTGAGACCACACATAGGAATACTCAGGGAAAGCCGTTATCTGTGTACAGATAACACGGTTCAGCTTTTTACTTACCAACTTTTAAAAAATCTAATAACAAGTTTGAAGCTCCAAGGTCATGTCTTAAAGCCCAGTGTCCAAGCCTGAGCCAGTAGCAGATTTCAGGTAACACTTTGGCAGGCAGATGAAGCATGGCTGGATGTTAAATTTAACATTTCTTATTCTTATCTATTTTCCTTGGACCTGATGTCCAAGGCAATGGGTCAGTGTTCTGATGGCATCCACTACCATAAGAAGAGATTCCAAGCAAGTATGAAAGCAAGCTGTGTAACACCTGGTTCTTAAAGTGTTTAAATTAAATTGCACAGATATTCAACTGAGTTTGTCTCATTAAACCAAGTACTTACCTGTGATGTGAGACAAGCTGACCTGCAAATAATCCAATGCCAGGGAATCTATTACTGCTTGTACATTATGTGCATCATCCTCTTGGCTTCTGGGAGTAGCAATGAAATCTATTTAAAATAAATAATAGATTTTAGACTATTTAAATGGATAGCTTGTTGCAAGTATCTTAACAATGAAACTACTTTAACTTCTGCTTACAAGCTTTTTCAGTGCCTTGTGTCCTTGATGAAAAGCCTAAGTATCATATATGGTCCTACAAAACCATTCATAAATACTGAACACAAACTTAGAACACCCCTTGGAAGATGCGAGGGTTTTATCAGGATTAAATTAATGAAGAGAAATTACTAAAGCATCCCAGCACACACACCTAGTTCAGATCATCAAACTGGAACTGCAGTTTATGTTAGGGCTTCTTCTTTCCCTGTCAGACACTAATTGCAGTGCAGTGTATTCTACTTAATTGGGAACATTATTTTTAGTTCTGCACTTACATTTAACAAGACTTCTACCTTCAATAGGTGCCAGTTACCTCAGTGCTCTTAAAATCTTCTGCAATCAGTAGTCTGACACTTCCTACAGATAGTAGTTTATAAACAAAGCAAATGCATAACTGTATACATAGCCTTTGCTTAATGGCTGTCACTGAAGTCCAGTGGAGTTGGGATAAAGCAGGGTTAAATCACAGTTCAGCTCTTAGCAGACTCCAAGTATCAAGCATTTTATGAGCACAAACTTCAGTGTTAACACTGCTGTAAGATAAAAGGAGCCACTTCACACCCTGCAGAAGTACTATGCCCACAGACAGCTTTCAAGGCCTAATTTACAGTAGTTTTGTTGTGGCTATCTTCATAGCTGCCATTCTTAGCCATCCAAAGTTAAAATAAAATTGGCCAATATTACTTAAATCTTCTTCAAGAATGACAACCTTATATTTTTGTCTTTGGAAGGATGCAAATGCTTTAAATCCCTGTATCTGTAGAAGTTCTACAAGTTTCAGTTTTATTTAGCTACAAAATACACAGAGACAAAAATAAAAAACATATTTAGCAATTATCATTCCTACCTGGTACTTTCTCTCCTAAGATTGATTCATAAAGACAAACAAACAGGTCAGCACCACATTCTGAGAGATGCTTTATGTGCTGGTTTATGTGACACGTCCTTAAAAGATCATTGGCAACATCAACCCAATCTGTACAGAAGAAAATCATTAATGTCAGAGCTGAAAGACCCAGAAATAAAGATGTGGTTATTTACAGTGAAAATAATCTGTAAGTGTCTTTGACTCCACCAGAGGTGGTCAAACAGGAGGCTGACCCATCCATCCAAAATATTAAACAGTGTTTAAGTGCAACTGGACTTGGGAAGTGAAAAACACTGAAGTACCAGAGGCTGGGCAGGTTAATTTTTTTTTCCATGTAATGAAAAACAAATTTGCATCTGGTCTATAGCCAGGACCTCTAAACCTTCAAGACATTAACAAGCCAAGCTTTGATACACCATTTATCAATTATCAGAAATAACAGGTTCTTTTTTTGGAAAACATGAGCTTCTCGGACAAACTCAGATTCTCTAATAGCCTTAGGCAATGTCATCACTGCTAATGTAACTACTCCTCATAAAAAGTAAATTCTACTTTAATTATTTAAGGATTAGAAGAATACAGAAGTGGTCACACCAAGTTCTCTGCTGAGCACAAGACGTGCATTAACATTGTGATTTTCCTCAAAATTTGAGTCCTAAGATCAAAGTGCTTTGAAACACACATATTTTAACAAGCATTAAGAACTTTAATTTATTGGTGAAGACATAAGTCACCTTTGGAAGAAAAAAGTATAGAATTACTACAACAGAAACAAATTGGTACAGTTTTCAGTCTTCTGTACAGAGGAGTGTTACTTTTCCATCTCTCTACTCCATCAGTTCCAGACATCACCTTAAGTTTCAGATGCACCAAAGGTTAAAGCAGCATCTACATTTCAGGCTGATGTCTTGGAACACTTGAGTTACTGTTCATCTCTAGCTTTATTAAGTTAAAAGTGTAGCCAGGAAAGGAACAAAGAGGGGAAGGGGGAGGTTAATGCAAAGATCTTAAAAAGCCGTAACACAAGAAAACAACAGCTTTATAAATGAATAAGCATGAACTGACTGGGTGAGCTTTAATAAATAATGACTGAATAAAACTGTGCCAGCGATGCGAGCGGCGGGGGGGAGGGGGAGTGATAAGGGAGAAGGAAACTTTCCGGGTCGTCTCTCCCGGCTCTGCGGGTGCCAGGCCGGGCGCTGCTCCGGGAGCGGGGCCCGGGGCCAGGCCCACCGCAGGGCCGGGCGCAGCGAGCGGCGGTCGGAGCCCCCCGGGGCCGGCCCTACCTGCGCCCTCAGCGCTGCCCATGGCGGCACCAACGACCCGGGCCCGCGGCCGCCCCGCCATTTAAACCGCGGCCTGCGCGCCCATTGGGCAGCCGCAGGAAGGGGCGGGGCCGCGCGCCCGGCGCGTCCGGTGCTCTCGGTCGTGGCCGGTGTTACGGGAGCGGGGCGGGCCCAGCGCCTCGGTAACGGGCTTGGGAACAGGCCTGCGCTTGGACTGGGAACGGGGAGCAAAAGAAAGAGCCCGTGCCCCAAGCTAAGCCGCGGCGCCGGTGCCGTGAGGGGCGCCGGTGCGGTCCGCCCGTTCCCCGCCCGGTTCCGCCACCGGCGCAGGGCCCCGCGGGCCGAGGCCCCGGGCAGCGCGGGCCGGCCCCGGGGCGCTCCGGCCGCCGAGCGCTGCCGGCGGCGTAAAATGGCGGCGGGGAAGACGGGGGGAGGGGGGCCTGTCCGTCAGGTTCCGCCTCCGTCACCTGAACAGGAGGCGGGTGGCGGCGTTTATCTCGGTAAACGGGGTGGGCAAAGGGCCGGCCTGGGGCGGGGGTGGAGCGGGGGAAGTTGCACCACTTGACCTTGCAGGCGTGCCCGGGACGTTTGCTGGCCTGTATGTCCATTAGCGGGGATTGCTGTTAATTGCCACGGTTTGGCAGGGTAGTTCGAAGGCATTTCTGCATGAAAGGGGAGCTAAAACCTTTATTAAAAATAAAATGCGTAAATGAAAGTTACTGTACTAGCCGCTAGCATGCAGTTTATTGGACAGGTTGGATGGTGAAAATCTCTTACTTCCCTTTCTGAGCAACAGTATTGCATGCTCCTCAGGAATTCTGGGTTTTCCATGTTGAAAGAAAAAATGGTGCCCTTTATCGTTAAACCCCTCAAGCACGGCAAAGGCAGCTGAGGTCCCAATTTTGACCGTAAGAACAATGACTGGCAGCAATAAAACCTCAGTGCTGTGAGCTCCAGCAGCCCACGGGTGTCATTTGTCGATCCAAATCCAAGTGCACACACCACCTCAGGAACACAAAAGAACTTTTGTTGTGTGTAAGCAAACACAGATCAGTGCTATCGAAACTAAACTAAACACAGATTTTAGTTTGCTGCATACACAGCTCTGCAAAACTGTTGATTTGTTTCCATGTGCTGGCTCTAAGAGAACATGGGAAAACCAAGGATGTTTAACTTAGGAGGGTGGAACAGAAAAATGAGGAAGTTTTTTTACAAAGTAAATTGAAAGGAGTTCCTTGCAGACTTAACTGCGTGTAGACAAGGCAGGGACTGGGTTTTTGTTTAGTCTTTTCAATTCTTTAATACCTTAGAAAGATTAAACAGCACAGTAACAGGAGCCACAGAGTTATACACAAACAAAACCAAATTAAGCTGTGTTAAGATAAATGCAACAGAACAAGAAAAGATAATTCATTTTTACAGCGTTTGCAAAAAATTTTTTTAGACTCACCAGGAACAGGAAGCCTGTAGGGTCAGAAGGTGGAGAGTGTTAGTAGGGGTATTTGGGGTTAAAAATTTTTCACAAGCCATATTAAATAAGTAAGTCTCTACTGAAAAAAACTGGGGGCATTCCTCTACTAGAAATTTGCTGGGGTAGTATTAGCAAAACTGGTCAAGTTGGAGTGCTATTGAAAGAAATAATTAATTACAACAAAAAATTGGTTGAGCAAGGTGGAATTCCAAATTGCTGAGGTTTGAACAGTTTTGGCTATTCATAAACAAAATAACCCTGACTTAGGTGTTACTTTTGAGGACAATATCATGCAGACCTCTAGTCTTAGCAAACCCTGCTCTATTCTTAGCAACAAATTTTAAAAACTGCTATAAAGTAATACACAACAGATCGAAACCACCTTTATACTTTCATTATGTAGATCTGTATGAGGTCCAGATCTTAAATGCTGTGAATTTCTTGTCAATAAAGGCAAAAATAGCAAGGATAATTAGAAGCATGGAATCGCTTTAAAAGGAGGAAAAATTACACTGCAGCTTTGGTTTATTATAAAGGAGGTGACTTAGAAGATATTAATGCCCACAAACAGTATAAATAAACAAAAAGTTATTACTCACCATTTCTACTAACTCATTGTTTTATGCTCCTTATTATTATCCAGCAATATGTTGAAAACGAAAGTAAATGTTTTTCAGGTTGCATACACTAAAACTGTAAAATACATTGTCATGGTATCTTACAAGCTAAGGGCATAAATAGAACCAAATGTGAAGAAATGGCCATCAAATACAGTTATTTTTGTCCCAGAAAAGCCTTAAAGCACAGATTGCTAGAAGGTGGGAGGATATAAATGGGAAGTGTTGTTATAGCACTTCTCCTTCCTTATGTTGTTTTCATTTCTTCCCTCTCTGCCTGGAGCAGGTGGCTTCGGGTGTTTGTGCTTAAAACTTTAAGTCCTGTGTGTGTAAAGCTTCAGGTCGCCTGACACTGGCCTGGCAAAGCCGGTGGGTGAACAGCAATGTCCACTTGGGGTATTGAGTGTTTTTATCCCGTGCCTTCAGAGCAGCTTTTCAGCACCACTGCACCTCACATGACCTTTGACTCAGGTTACTGGCCCTGGTGTGGAATCCAAAAAGATAACACTGGTAATTTTACAGACATATGCTTATAAATATTTCTGTTCATGTATATGTTTATAAACATTTTTTAAAAGGCAATGGGTTAACAGAATAAAAGAACTAGCCTGAGGAGGTTTGATGTTATTTTGCATCCAGCTCCAGGATCTGCACATCTGGGTCCTTCTGAGAGCGAAAGTCACAGGTGGACATAGAGCCAATGTACCGTGAAGTATGAGTTTTTATTAGTTAAAAACCTGGGCTCATCTCAAGTTATTTCAGGAGGATTTTCAGAAACAGATCTGTGAGAACTGGGGGACTGCACTGCGGACATCAGGGTCCGGCTCTGCCCTGCCAACAGTGATGAGGAGCTGAGCTGCGAGCTGCGTTCTGAACACGCTGGGAGGCCGAAAGCCTGCACTTAGGGAGGATGGAAGAGAGAATTCTCCATTTGCATTTCCGGCCCCCTCAGGCCGGGATGCCCTCAGCCAGAACGAGGCTCCCGCCCGCAGCGGCCCCGCGCAGGCGCGGGCAGGGGGTGGGGGCCGCTCCCCGCGGGGAGGGGGCACTTCCGGCCGCGAGCTCAAAGCCGCTCGGCCGGGCGAGCCGCGGCCACGCCCACAAAGGGGCGGAGCCTCAGCTCGGCTCGGGCCGCTTGCATAACGGCGGGGGTGGGGCCTGCGCGTGCGTCACGCGCCGGCTCCCAGCAGCCCCCGCTGCGCCCTATATAACCGGCGGCCGCGCGGCCGCGCGCCCACAGTGAGCGGCCCCCGCCAGCGGCGCCGGATCTTGTGCAACCCTTCGCCACCCGCTCTAAGCGACCGGAGTCGCCTCGCCCACCGCCACCATCGCCATGCCCGGGTATTCCAGCGACAGGGATAGAGGGTGAGTCCGGGGGCACGGCTGGCGCCAGCCGCCGCCAGCGTCCGGACTCTGAGCCTACCCGTGGGGCTCTCGGGGTTGTTTTTCAGACGTTTTAAGATGGCGGCGGGGCGGGGGTTCGGCCCTGAGCCCTTCCCTCAGCGCTCCCGCCGCGAGGGTTGGCCGTGGGGGAGGGTATCGGGCTTTTTTAGGCCACCGACTGGAAGATTCCTTCGCCTCAGAGCACCCCTCGCGGGTGTGCTACCGCTGAGAATAGCGTGGGGGAGTTTTAATTTTTTTTTTTCCCTGTTGGGAAGGAAAATACTCGCCCCAAACCCCTTGGGACGCCCCCCGCCCAGCACAGACGGTCCGTGCAGAGCCCGATTCCCCCCGCTGGGAGCGGCGGGCGGGCTGGAGGTTTGTGGGTCAGTGGGTTGGCTGCGCCGAAGCCTTGGGGAGCTCTCGGCAGGGCGGTTCCCTCCCGTCCCTTCCCCCTCCCGAGGCTCGGGCTGTGGCCGGCCGGAGCCGGCCGGCTCCGCTTTGTGTTGTGTAAGCGGATGTTAATGGCCGGCCCCGCCATGCGGTGGCTGAGGGGAATCAAAATGCCGGCTATGCTGCTGCTGCCTTTGTTCCTCCTCCCCCCCGCCCAGCCCGGCTCTAAAATGGCAGCGGCTGGAAAATGTGGCGTAGACAGAAATGAGAGACAAAGGAAACAGCGCTGGCAGGAAGCAGCGGCCGCTCGGGAAGCGCTGTGTTGTGCTGGGAAGGATCGTTCCCAGTGCCCGCCCGGCCAAAATTGGGAAGTGATCGGGCCGGGGGAGGGAGACCTGCGCTCGGATCCAGTGCGCGGCACCGAGCTGCGCCTCGGGGCTTTCGAGATCAGCCTCCTCCGAACGGAGGGACGGAACCTGAAACGCTAATAAAGCGCATGTCCTCATAAAACACCGTTGTTAAAAGAAGTCTGTCTTTTGGGACATGCAAAAGAACGGTTTACAGGAAAGTTATCTCAAGGTTTCGTAACTGCTCCTGCTTTCAGTAATAGGACTGTCACTGGGACGGGAAACCATTTTGATCACGGGGTAGTGCCAAGGTTTTAATGCTTGTTGTAACTTGCTGTTCAATTGCATTGTATGGAAATGGGAAAGACGTTGTCTTAGCTTGTGAGTGTGAATTGTGGCCAGGCAGATTGTGGCATCTGCAGCTTAAAGTATGGCTTTTAAAGTTCTAGTGTCCTGAAACTTCGATATGTAGAGTTTCTACATCTAAATTGTAAAGTTAATGGGTGTACTGCAGACATAGTGGTGAAGTTGTTCAGGAGGACCAAAATGTTTTTCATGCATTCTATAATGTGTTCTTTTTGCCTAGGTTTGGAGCCCCTCGTTTTGGAGGAAGTAGAGGTGGACCTCTCTCTGGGAAGAAATTTGGAAACCCTGGGGAGAAACTTACAAAAAAGAAATGGAACTTGGATGAGCTGCCCAAATTTGAGAAGAACTTCTACCAAGAACATCCGGATGTAGTTAGACGTACTGCGGTATGTACCTGACCTGGCTCAAGCCAAAAGTAAACAGAAAGTGCAAACATGTTGAGGGTCATGAGGCCCAGCAGGCACAGATGGGGTAACTTAAAATATAACTGGTATCAGACATTATTTCCAATAATGGGTGTTTCTTTTTGCAGCAAGAAGTTGAACAGTACAGAGCGAGCAA